TATATGGCTTACATACTAGGGCTGGAGCGATAGCACAGCGGGTAGGGCGTTTGCCTTACAAGCGGCCAACATGGCCGACCCGAGTTCGATTCCTCTGCCCCTCTCGGAGAGCCTGGCAAGCTACCGAGAGTATTCGATATGCCAGACACAGTAACAACAAAGTCTCCAATGGAGACGTTACTGGGCCCGCTCGAGCTTGAGCAACCTAATCCACCACTCAAAGTCCATTCTCTTCTCCAGTGTAGTCACTCCTGTTCTAAGCGTGAGGAGACATCTACTGTGGACTTGTGGGGAAAGGTTTGGGCTGGAGCGATAGCACAGCGGGTAAGGCGTCTGCCTTGCACGCAGCCAACATGGCCGACCCGAGTTCGATTCCTCTGCCCCTCTCGGAGAGCCTGGCAAGCTACCGAGAGTATTCGATATGCCAGACACAGTAACAACAAAGTCTCCAATGGAGACGTTACTGGGCCCGCTCGAGCAAATCGATGATCAACGGGAGGGCCTTACTTACTATTTGTATTGGAGTATATGCCCTTGTGCACTAGAGAAAAAAATGTTCACTTTTCTACTGCTGGATAAGTGTTCTCCATGTTGGGTGGGCCCAGCTGAACTGGATTGTGTTCAGTCTCTGCTTGCTATTTCAGATTCTTCTACACATTATTGAGAAGTAGGGGGAGTGACTATTACAGGACCATTTCTTCTTGTCTGTATTGGCCCCATATGTTGCAGGGGCTCTGATGGTTGATACATACGCTTGTGACAGCTACATCTTGATGAATTGACCTTTTAGACATGATTTTTAACTTAAACTAATTTGCCTGATCCTAGTATAGCCACCCAGCTCTTAATTTCTATTTTGATAGAATATCTTTTTCTCTTCCTTGACTTTCAATTTATGTCTTTACATTTAAAGTGAACCTCTTCTAGACAACATAACATATGCTTTGATCATGGCATATGGTTCTGTCCTTCCTGCTAGTCACAGTCTTTTGACTGAAGGGTTTTAATTCTTTTAATTTGGTGATGATTTTACTTTTGCCCCTCTGTTTCCTACATTTGGTATTTTTTTGTTCTTCAGTACTGTTTCCTGTTGCATTTTGTTGTTGTTTTTAGGTTGCCCAGGCCGTGCGCAGGGCTTACTCTCAGCACTGCACTCGGAGATACTCCTGGTGGGGTTGGGGGTGCTCAAACCCAGGTCGGTTCTTTGTGAGGCAAGCGCCCTACCTGCTGTACACCCTCTTGCATTTTTTGGCAGTGATGCGTTGTAGTTGCTAATTCTGGCCAGTGGTATAAGGAAGGAGGGTGAGTAGAACACACTGAGCACTAACCCTGCCGTGAGGGCGGGCCTAAAGGTGAGAACTGCTCTGACCTGCCTGCCTGACTCTTCCCCACATCTCGAAGCCTTCAGGAGAACAGTCAGCTGCCCAGCCTGCCTTGGCATTTCAGGGTGCATGATGGGCCTGAAATAGTCCACAGAGGTGCCCCCAGCCACTGTGCTGCTGTCCTTCCTGTCCATCAGCCCTTCCCCATGGAGCACGCTGGTGCAGCACTAGTTTGAGATGGTGTTTCTTTTGTTTGGAGCGATAGCACAGCGGGTAGGGCGTTCGCCTTACAAGCGGCCAACATGGCCGACCTGAGTTCGATTCCTCCGCCCCTCTCGGAGAGCCCGGCAAGCTACCGAGAGTATTGGATATGCCAGACACAGTAACAACAAAGTCTCCATTGGAGACGTTACTGGGCCCGCTCGAGCAAATCGACGATCAACGGGAGGGCCTTTACCTTTACCTTTGGTGTCTACTGTAAAGACAGGAGCCGTCAGCTCGGATCACGCCTGGGCCCAGGGAGATGGTGCACACCAGGTCCCTGTTCTGCTCCTGGCCCTGTCTGGTCCCCACCTCGACCCCTCAGTGCCAGGTGTGTTCAGGTGTAGCTGATGTGTCATGACTTACTCCCCATTACGAGGCTGTGGCGTGGGGCCTGGGGGTGTCTCAGAGGTGGCTTGCACTCACTCAAGGCCACACCATCAGAAATTGTACCTGAGGGCAAGGGGTAGGCTCACAGGGCAGTGTGCTTACCTGTGTGAGGCATGAGTTGGATCCCAGCACCAAGTGGCCCCCACCCCACGGGACATCAGGACTTAGGCCTGCAGGCTGCTCTAAGCCACACAGCGTCTGTGATTAAAAAATCAGAACAAAACGCTGCTCTCAACGGGGTGTGGGGCTGAGCAGCGTCTTCTAGGTTTCCCTCCCCAGGTAAATTTACCTTTCCACAGCAGCATTTCTTTTCTCCGTTGCGTGATGCAGTGGCCTTTAATTGGCCAGAAACATGCAGGATGGCCCCTGCCCTGTGGGCGCAGGAGTGCATGTGGCTGAGTCACTAAGTTGAGCCTGCAGGGGTGGGTGTCCCCACACAGATCTCACACATCCGTCTGTGAACCAAAACGCAGACTCCACATGTCAGGCCGCGGGGCTAGGACAGAGGCTCTCTTCTGAGGCCAGTAACAGGCGGCTGAAAAGGCAGCTGTCGGGCTCACCCTCTCTCCCCTGCCCCTCCCCCCAGGTGCGTCATTTCCGGCATGGCCTCAGGAAGCATCGTGCTCTTCTACAACGACTTCAACCGGTGGCACCATGAGTACCAAACCCGCTACTGAGGGGACCCCAGAGCACCGCCTTGGAGAAGCAGCTGTCACATCTGAATGTCACTTAAAGTTGCTCTAAGCAGCAAACTATTTTTTAAAGTTAATTGCTATTTTTGTAGACTTTGCTTGACTTTGGGGGGAGGGCGGGTCAGGGACTAGCGGGGCAGACACTGGCCGGGTTCTGTAGTTTACAAAGTCTATATTTTTAGTCCTAACGAGAAGTCTATTTTCACCAATGATGGAATCACAGTGGGGGCGAGTAAACCCACACACTCTAGCTGTATAATGAGAAACACTTCCCGTTTATCCGAAATCTTGGAAAACATGATTTTTAACGATAGAGCAATAGGTTCTCACACGGGGATGGAGGGAATTTTATGCTGTACTTTTGAGTCCTGTAATTGTTTTTTTTCCCCCCAAACACTTTGTGCTGCTTCGGCACTGAAATTTCTGGGATTTGTCATGTTTAAATTATGGTATATGTAATTTAAAACATCTCAGTGAATTCTTTCTATCAATATTATCCGAGCATGTTGTAGACCTGGGAGATGCTGGTATGGGGGGAAACAGCTCTCTGATTTTCTCGTGCGGTTGGTCTGAAGAATGTGCGTCTCCAGCAAGTGCGAGACAGTCGCGTTTTCCTGCTCGTCTGGGCACAGCAGAGGAGACAATGGGGATGCTCCGAGCCTCGGCGGCGTGGGGTCCCCGGGAAGTGACTGCGTACAACAAGGCTGTGCCCTTCGCCAGGCCTCGGGCTCCCCTCCCCGAGACCAGGCTGCTGCCAGGCGCTGCCGGAAGCGGTTCCCCTTCACCGTCTGTCCCGAAAACTCTTCACTTTCCTTTTCTGATTAGAAATTTGTACTAAGAAACGATGTTATTTTGGTGTTGTATAATTCTACTTTTCTAGAGAGTGCTGTGCGGAATTCTGTGAGAAATATTTGCAACAAGGCCTGTATTGCATAAATAAATTCTTTGTAAGCCGTGGCCTCCAAGCTGGAACCGAAGTTCCGTCTGTTTCTCCTGCCCCTGACCTGACGAGTCACCCCCAACCCCTCTTCACCTCCTCCTCCACCCAGTCGGCTCTTACCTCGAACCAAGATGCGGAATGAACAGTTTGGCAAAAACCTGAATAAAGTGGCATCTGTAGTAGAATTGTTGCAAATATCTTTTTTTTTCTCTGCCCTAAATTGTTTTAAAAGTGATCAAGCGATTTGCAAAGAAAATGTTCTTGGGGCTAAGAGCCAAAGGGTCCTGACTGAAAGTGCGCAGGTGCTGCCTTCCTGCTGAGCTGTGGGCGCTGAGCCCCTCGCCCCAAATGCTGCCCCAGCACCAACCCTGTCTAGGGTGCTGAATTGTGTTGGGTTTTTTTTTTTTTTTTTTGCTCAAGGATGTCTCCTGAGAGGGTGGGGGAGGGGGAATGGACAGCCCATGCAGTAATGGGGATAGAACCAGACCAGTTGCATGCGAGGCAAGTGTCTGGACTCCTGCACGGTTTCAGAAAATGGTAAGAAGAGAGACGGTAAAATATCAGAGGGGGAAAACTGTCTTTTAGCTGACACACCCATCAGACCAAAGCATCGCCCGAGTTACTGGTGAATGAACTAACCACCCTCGCTGCAGGTAACCATAAGCTCATAGGGGAGGGAGAGGGAAGGGGAATGAGCACCCCAGTCCCTGCCGGGCCCCCCATCCGGGAGGTAAGGCAGCTCCCGGGGAACCCTCTGCTGTTCCAAACAACTATGGCCAAGTAGCCGAAGCCAGAGGCATCCCTCAGAAAACGGCCACTGGTGGCATGAGGACCATCTGTCCCGAGGAGGAGCAAACCAGCAAACCCACTGGGTGGTGCCTCCGCCCTTGGGTACACACACCCCACGTCCTCGCATCTTCCCAGTGTCGCCCTGCCTCGGTGATGGCCCCCAGGGCTGCATCCCAAGCCACGCCGAGAAACGGGCCCCCAGAAGCCCCCCGAGTGTCTTCTCACGGAGAGTTTATTGCAGGTGGGGTACACTTGGGGGGGGGGCAGGGAGCTAACAGAGGGCAGGAACTACAGACCCCCCGTGGAGAAGGTGAGCAGGCCGGAGACACAGAGTATGTACAGTTATGAAAAAGAGCAGGGCAGGGAGGGAAAACTGCCAGCAGCCTTCCAGGTTAGAAACGGGGTGTCCAGGGAGCCCCTTCCCGGGCCCGACGCTGCAGGGGCCATCCTCTGCCCTGCGGGGACGGGGCTGGCCCGCCTCGAGGGACTAGCCCAGCCCCGAGGTGCCGCCCTGCCCGGCCTCCCGCCTAACAAGGCCAAGGACAGCTTTGTCAGCATTTCCCACTACACAGGACAGCTGCACGGACGGGGCGCCCCAGGAGACGACGCCAGGCCTACTCGCGTCCCGTCTGCGGAGCCAGGTGGGAGGCTCCGGGACACTCGGGGAGGGAACAGCGCAGTTCTGAGTCCCAAGTGGGAAGAGAAAAGGGGGCCCCGCCGGGGCCACTTAAATAAGGGAGGAGTCTCGGGCGTCCGTTGGGTTGTGCTCCACGTGTCCGCCGCGCGGACAGCACAGGCGAGGGGACCCGGCCGCTCCGAGTCTCTGCACCGAGGCGCGGCCGGTGGAGGCGCTGGAGGAAGGCCCTTGGGTGAGGGCTAGCCTGAGTGGAAGAATGGCTTCGACGGCGCGGCCTGTCTGCCGGCTGGTCAGTCGCGGTGGCGGCGCCACGTCCCTGCCCGATCGCTGGGCCGAGGTGGGGTGGGGGACTCCGGGCGAGGAGGAGGAGGAGATGGAGGAGGGGGAGGGGGGGCCCTGCGCCCCAGGGTCTCCCCGGCCGGGCCAGCGGGGAGAGGAGCAGCGGGAGGAGGAGGAGGAGGAGGCGGCGAGGTGGACTCCGCGCCCGGTCGGCTGCCGTCCGGCCCGTGCTTGCCGCAGAAAATCTGCCCCTCCTTATCTAGAGCCGTGTTCTGGGGAGACACAGCGGGGGACACAGTCAGCCGTGGGCCACACCCCACCCGGAGCCCCTGGGAGCATGCAGGGCCAGAACAGGAGAAATAGCCTGCGGGCTCCGAGGCCAACACGCCCAGCCCTGCCCGCCCCCCGAAGGCCACCTCTGGGGGGCCCCTGAGTGAGGACTTCCGTGAGCCCCAAGAAGCCCCTGGAGGCAGCGGGCCCCGGTTATTTCTCCTTTTCCCGGTGGAGAGGACAGGCGTGAGCGGGCAGCAAGCGGGCAGCGGGGAGTACATACCATGGCCGGGGACCTAGGCAGAGGGGAGCAAGGCGGGCAGCGGGAGCGGCAGGAGAGAAGCGGGGACAGAGAGTGACTAACTTTCCACACAAGCGACACACGCCGCGGCCAGCCTGCTGTGACCCAGCCCAGAGTCCCCCCCCCCCCCCCGCCCCACACACTGCCCTTTCTCCCCTCCAGAAAGCGCCCCCTCGCCCAGGAGCCGGAGGAAGCCGGTCCGTGTCCAGATGAGGACACACCTGGGAAGTCCCTGTCCGCCCACAGACCCGACTCTGGCCTCAGTGGCAGGGGCTGGCGCACTGTGCCCGAGAGGCCCCGAAGCCAAGCTGTCCCCGGGGTACCAGGGGCCCTGCATGTGGCGGGAGGAGGGTGCTCTGATGCTCGAACTCGGTGCCGGGATCCCCAGAACCTCAGTGAGCTAAGGAGCAACTCTGAGGGGTCTCCCACAGTCAGATCCAACAGTCGAGCAAAACACAGACAGCAGCTCTGCCTCCCCGCCCAGGCTGCCTGACTCAACCGCTCCTGGGGCCCGAAGCCAAAGACACCAAGTGTGGGGGGCTAAGGAGACTCGGGGTGACCTGGCATTCAGGCTCACCCATCTAAGAATGCCAGCCCGTCAGAACTGTCCAGTCTCCCTGCCCGCATCTTATCTGTCTTTTATACTCCCGCTGGGCTGGAGCCATAGCACAGCGGGTAGGGCGTTTGCCTTGCACGAGGCTGACCCAGCCAACCCGGGTTCGATTCCTCCACCTCTCTCGGAGAGCCCCACAAGCTATCAAGAGTATATCACCCGCACGGCAAAGCCTGCAAGCTCCCTATGACGTATTCGATATGCCAAACACAGTAACAACAAGTAACGTCACAATGGAGACGTTACTGGGCCCGCTGGAGCAAATCGATGAACAATAGGAGGACAGTGCTACAGTGCTACAGATACTTACAGATACTCCCGCTAGTATGAGTACCTGAGTCAGCCAGCCTGGGGCTACTGTTTTTATCCTGAACATCAGAGCGGGGCAGAAAGGGACAGGACGTGGCACAGGGGATAAGGCCTTCCAGAGGGCCACCCTAGTTCTGTCCCTGGCACCCCATAGGGCCCTCGCCAGGAGCGATCCCCGAGCACAACTGGGTGTGACCCAAACACCAGAAAAGGAAAAATGAAACCCAACCCTTGCACGTAGCTGAGCCTGGTACGATCTCAGAGCCAAGCATCCCCCAGTGTCACCGAATGTGGCCCTGAGCTCCTGAGTGCAGTCGAGGCAGCCCTGGGTCCCCACGAGCCACACACTAACTGAAATGTCTGCTGGCTGGGAGGGCCAGGGCAGCCCACCCCACCACAGCACCTCCGTCTCCCTCTGTCTCCAAGAACCATGGACCCCATGCACGCCACAGGGCGCCGGGACTGGGAGGACCTCGCCCACTGGGGACGGGCCACTCGCTGCCCAGACGCACAAGGCAGCGCTGGTCCCTCCTGCCCACAGCTAGGAGCCCACCTTAGAGGCCATGACAGCAAGTGGCTGCAAGTGAGAATGGGACACGGGGCGAGCCCAGTTCTGCTGCGTTTTCTCCACAGACCAGACACAAGGGCTTGGCCGCAAAGCACAGGCTGCGGCTCTCTAGACGGGCTCTGAGCAGCATTATCTGGAGCTTTGGGGGTGCTCACCCAGCAGTGCTCGGGGATTACTCCTGGCTCAGTGCTCAGATGACTCCTGGTAGGGTTTGAGGGACCCTCTGGGGTGCAGGGATTATGGAACCTGGGTCAGCCATATGCAAGGTGGTTGCCCACCTGGGTTACTTCTCCAAAGCCATGCCTTAGGCTCCTAAGAGCTGAAGATTTTTTCATCCCATCTCAAGTGTGCCCATTTCAAAGGGTTTTCATTTTTTTCCAAACTTTCCCAGGAGCAACCTTACAAAAGGTCAGGCGGCCACCTGAGGCCGGCCCCTCCCCCTCCACCCAGGATCCTAAACGGAACCACCTGAAAATGCTCTGGGCAAAGATGAAGTCATGAAATTTACATACAAGTGGTACTACATGGAAAGTATCATGCTAAGCAAAATGAGTCAGAAAGAGAGGGGTAGACATAAAAAGATTGCATTCATCTAGGGAACATAAAGTAACAAAACAGGAGATTAATACCCAAGAATAGCCGAGATCAGTACCAGGAGGATTACTCCATGGCCTAGAGGCCAGCCGGGCATTCTAGGGAAAAGGGCAGCTCAGATAGAGAAGGGAGCACCAAATAAAGGGTGTTGGGAGGATCTTCCCAGGAGGGGAGATGCATGTTGAAAGTAGACTATGAACTGAACATATTTGCCACTCAATGCCTCTTATGCAGACCACAACAACCAAAAGGAGAGAGAGAACAAAAGGGAATGCCCTGCCACAGAGGAAGGGTGAGATGGGGGGGATGGGGGGTGGGAGGGATACTGGGACCCGTGGTGGTGGAAAATGGGCACTGGTGGAGGCATGGGTATTTGATCATTGTATAATTGAAACCCAAGCGCCAAAAAAATTTGTAAGTCTACAACTGTACCTCATGGTGTTTCGCTAATAAAAATTAAAAAAATAAAAAGAAGAAGAAAATGCTCTGGGCTGTTGGCTCAGCCCTGATGAAACTGATTGGTTTAATCTGTCAGAACCCTGGCCTGGATCTGGAGCAGAGCACTAAAACCACACGAAACCACTGATACCCGTCCAAAGGCCCACCTGGGTGGACGGGGTGGGGAGAGGCTGGGGGCTGGGGGCTGGGAGCATATATAGTAGGTGCCAAATAGTTACAGCCTCGTGGGAAGAAAAAGAGCGAGAGACCAACAAGGCACAGCTGGCGGGGGGGGGGTCCCTCAATCTGCCTCCTGGGAGGCTGTTTCCCAGGTGATGAAGCGACCGTTTCCCTCCTAACATGCAGGAAAGGTGGAGCCTCAGCAAGAGGTGAGCGGGGGCAGCCGTGCCCTGGGGCGTCACCTGTCCCTGACAAACACCCCCCCCCCAACACACACACACACACAAGGAAGGCGGCCCTGGCGACCACCCAGCACCCACCGCCTTAGGCGCAGGTAGAGCTGACGGTGCCTGTGGGCTGCACGGGGCTGGGAGCTGGCACCCAGTGTGGCTCTGCACCTGCCGCAGCTGAGCTGGCAGACGGACGGACAGACAGACAGACGGGGCTCATCCCTCAAGGCTCTCAGCCTGGGAGAAATACTTCCACTCTGTCCCGAGAAAGCCACAAGGCTGGCCTGTTTTTTTCGGTGGGGGCATTTGCGTGCCGACTCGGTGTGTCCTTCCCTTCACCCCATCCGTTCCCTTTTCTCGTCTCTCTTACACTCCTGACACTACCCAACCAAACGGGGGTGGGGAGTGTAGGGGGTGGAAGAGAAGCACTCGCTGAGCATCGGACCCTCGCTGGGTTGCACAGTCCTCCTGGTGGGAAACCCCTCTGAAGAAAGCAGAGGCAGAGCAGACAGAGCAGAAGCAGCGGCGGGCGGAGGTGGCCGCCAGCAGCGCCCTCCCTCCACAAGGAGAGGCCAGGCCACGCGCGCCCACTCACCATGATGACGGACACCCCAGACGTGGTGCTCTGCCTTGGGAGCACGTGCTGGAAGTGCTGCTTGAGCTTCCCCGTCACCTCTGCCTGCATGTTGTTCTCCTGGGGGGCATCGTCCTGCGGGAAGGAACCGAACAGGTGTTGGCTCAGCCCCTCTGCACTTGGTCCCTGAAAGGGCACAGTTAACCACGTTTACCTTTTTTTCCCCCCTGGGGGTGTTGGGGAGTGAGACCTGCCATGCTCAGAGGCCACTCCCAGCTCTGTGCTCGGGGGTGACCATGTGGAGCTTGAGATCATGCAGAGAGCGCGCATGCTCAGGCCTTAGCAGCCTTCTCTCTAACCCCCCACAATGAGGAGCTGCAAAAGATCCTCTCTGGGGGGTGGGGAGATGGCACAGAGAGAGTCCAGGGACCAACACGCCTTTCTTGCAAGAGGCTGACCCTGGTTCCATCCCCAGCACCACCCTGAGCAGTGCCAGGAGTGACCCTGAGCTGTGAGCAAAAAGCTGGATGTGACCCAAAAGCCAAAGAGTAAAAATAATAATAATTTTACTTCTTAACTATAATTTTAAAAGATGATCTTCTGGGGAAGGGAAGCAGGGAGAGAATTCAAGTGGTAGACGCATGCCTGGCCCCGAATTTGACCTCAGGGCACCCCATGCCCTCAGCAAGGCCTGACTGGCTCCTATAAAAAACAAATCAAGGTAATTTCAGGGGCCTGGGGCCAGCTCAGGGCTGAACACCTGGAGTGCAAGTGTGAGGCTGTAAATTGCAGCCCTGGCCCTGCCCCGCATGCCAGGAACGACCCCACAGCACCTTGGGTGACCATCCCTGTGTGGCAGTGATGGCCAGGTGACACTATGACCATCCCAGTGTGGCAGTATGGCAGAGGGGGAAGTCACTTCATTTCGGATGAAAATGGTTACTTAGACCACACCCAGCGGTGCTCAGGGCTTACTCCCGGCTCTCTGCTCAAGGATCACTCCTGGTGGGGCTGAGGGGACTCTATATGGTGCTGGGGATCAAACCAGCAGCACCTGCAGTATCTTTCCAGCCTGAAAAAAAATCCGTTCTTCGTAAATGCGCCAACAACAAACACAAGGATGGCGGCCCCTGGCTCCCCGTGCCTGCTCCCTGGCTCCCCGGCCAATCTGAGGAGAGCACATGGGGTAAGGGCCACAAGGAAGGGGCCCTTCCTGCAGGCTCCAGGGACATGCCCCAGAAGCACCAACACCACAGGGCAGCCGTGATCCTGCCAAGAAGCAGGAAAACCCACGACGCGGCCCCCCAGCAAGGCCTGTGCACGCAGATCTCAGCTGCTTGGAAGCGATGGGCCTCTCGGCACTCATAGGGCCCGGCCAGAGTCCCCGGAGAACCCCAACAGGGAAACAGACTCACCGTATTCATGGGACACCCACAACCCTGCCCCTTCAGCTCTGCCAGGGCCACCTGGGTCTCCCCTCCCCGGCCACAGCAGAGAAATGTCCCCTGAAGACTGAGATCGGGCACCCCAATCCACTCTTCTGCCAGCACTGGAAACTCAGCCCAGCACCCCAGGGCAAGGCTGAGGGCATCGGGCCCACCCGGGTCACCCCCAGACCAGGTCCACCTGCTCTCCCTAAGGCTCACGGCAGGGAACATTCAAGCCACCTGGCCCAGAGAAGGCAGGGGACAGACGAACGCAGGCACTCACCGACACCCAAGGGTGGCTCAGGATCTGTCCTGCTGTGCACCGGGCCTCGACATTGACCTGAAGCATCTGGCTGATCAGTTCCTGAGAGAGAGAAAACGGCGGGAGGAACGGGCTGATTCCGGCAGCTGTGTGGAACCAGGCGTCAGCAGGGGCGCCCGACAACAGCCACGGTGGCTGGCGAGAGGCAGCCCACCCTGGCCAGCTCACAGCAGTGGGAGGGTGTGAGGGAAGGGTCTCCCCTCACAGACACAGGGCAGGACGTGCTCCCCGGGCCCCACTTGTGGGAGCCTGCAGCTCTGCCCCTCTGAGCTGTGCCATGAGCACCCCAGCCCCTTCCCGCGTCCTGGTGCAGGTCTGCACACTGACCCTTAGCAAATGGAAGAATGGTGGGGGGCATGAGAGGCATGCAGTGGGGTGTTGGGGTACACTGGGGCCAGGCCCTAGAGCCCCAGAAACTTGGAATGAGCTGACAGGGGAGCCCAGCTCAGACAGCCGAGTCTCCCCCAAGCTCCAGTCCAGCCCCACTACAAGTCCCACCAGGGGCATGAACGATGACAGCCCCCCGCACCACACCCCCTCCCAGAGATGCCCCGCATGGTACCCTTCGCTGGGTCCCACTGGGGACATGGGACAGCCAAGGCCCCCAGCACCCCCCACCACCAGAGACAGCCCCGGGTGGTACCTTCGCGGAGTCGGTGATGCTGTCCCAGTAGGGGGCAGGAAACTCCAGCTTCCCGGCCAAGATCTGGTCAAAAAGATCTTCCTGTAGATTGTTCTCGCTGCGCCAAGAATGGGGAGAACAGTCGGTGTCATCGTAAGGCTCCTCCTCTTCTTAGGGGAGAGGTGCGGGGAGGAGGGCCATATGTGGTGCCCGAGGTCAGGCCTGGCCTAGGCACACGCGAGACCAGCTCCCACCCTGCTGTCCTACTTCCCAAGAGCAGGGCTACCCCTGGCTCTGCGCCCAGGGTTAATTCGGGGGGTGCTCTAGGGTCCGGGTGTGGTGCCGGGTTTGTTGGCAGGTGTGAGGCAGGTGCCCTGCCTGCTGTATTAGCTCTCCTGCCCATCATGGGGGGCTTCAGCAAAACACTCAGGAGACGAGTTGGGTGGCTGGGGGGAGAAGGAGCCCCACTAGCCTGGGTGTGGGCACTGCCCCCCCCCCCGCCCCAGGCACTGCTGATACTGAGTTCTCCTTAGATGCAGTGAACAGAAAATGATCTGGAAACATGGGTTGAGAGAGAACAGGATGGGGCGGGGAGGCGGGGAAGAGATGGCCAAGGGCGCTGGGTGACAGTTTCCATCTGACAGCGGAGGATCTGGACGGCAAGCAGCCGTGTCACTGACCTCATGCCACGGAACTGGACCCCAGGAAGTAGGGTGAGCATAAGGGCCCATCACAAGAAAATAACACCAGAAACCACAGCGAGAGGGGGACCCACAACTCATGCAAATCCTCACTGCAGAAAACCCCGCCCAAGTATCTGCTCCCAGGGGCCAGCCGGCCTCGCCCTGTCCCCAGAGGTGAAGGCGGAAACGCCTTAAGGACTTCAGAGCACAGATGAGGCATTCGGGGGACACGAGAGGCTCCCCCCCTAGGGCGGGGCTTTCTCACCCGGCTGGGCCCGAGAGATGGAGCCCATCAATGATGCCAATCAGAACCGCATGGCCTGGGGGAACCCAGCTCGGTGCTCGAGCCCCAGTGCCCTCATGCCTGACCCTCACGGCGACGCCCATCCTCACAGCCCATCTCCTCCGGACCACACGTGAGGATGGGGCTCTGCACAAAGGTCTAGATGTGGGGCTGATGTGACAACACAGCGGGTAGGGCATTTGCCTCGCATATGGCCGACTGGGGTTTGATCCCCACCATCCTATATGGTCCCCCGAGCACCAACAGGAGTGATTCCTGAGTGCAGAGCCAGGAATAACCCCTGAGCATCTCCAGGTATGAGCCAAAAAGGAAAAAAAAAAAAGTTAAGATGCTTCGGAGAAGATCCAGGGAGCTGGACCCCCTCCCACGTGGGCACCCCCAGGGGGAGAACAAAGAAGTCGATGCAGGCGCCAGGATTCGGGGGGCACAAAGGGCGATCGGTCTTCCTGGCAGGAATGGGATGTTCCTCTTGGGCTTCTGGAGAGACTGGAGCCCGGGACTACTGAGGCTTGCGGGAGCCACTGCCTCCACACAGCAGCCTGCGCTCACCCCTGGAAGCAGCTCTCTGGGTGCAGGGACATTCGTCCTGGCCGGCTAGGAAGGGCTGTGGTGAAGGTCGTGACCGCCAGAGGTGCCCATGATGTCCAGGGGAGGGGCGAGCTCCGGGGCCCTGGGCCTCGCCTCTCCCTTCAGGCGCAGCCAAGCACAAGCCCAGCAGGCACGAGACTGGCTCTGGGGTCTCTCTGCCTGCACCCAGATTCTTTTCTGGCAGGAAGCACGCGTGTGAAACTGAGATCGGAGCAGCCTTGCAGGACTAGCTCGTTGCTTCCAGGTCTGGGGACTCCGCGTGGGCGAGCACGAACGCTAGGGGGCGTTGTGAGCACACATTGCTCTGAGCCCCTGCACCCTGGCCTCCTCCCAGAGGGAATGCTGTGCCAAAGACATCACGGCAGCCCCCAACAACCCTGCAGCAGCGTGACAAAGGCCACAGAAGAGTCCTTCCCTTGGCGTACTGAATCGCCAACTGACACACTAGGCTTGGGGCCAGGCTGGGGCCTTGCAATGTGCATGGCGCTGGCTGGCCCCGGCACCAACTAACAACTCATCACGAGGCGCAGCTGTGAGGCTTCATCTGGTCATCACAGTCCCACAAACGCTTACAAATCCCCGGAACTGCGGGTGCTGGGAATCCCATCCACCACCCAGGAGGCTCGACTGCGGGGCACTGAGAGCTTCCGGCCATGTTTTATCAGCTGCCCCATGGGCCAGCAGCCAGGTAGGAAAGTCAGAACCTTTGGCACCATCAGCCTCTCTAGATGGGCTGGGCTGGTTTTCTGAACGTGGTAGGGACAGTCGGGATTAGTACGTGCTCAGCTAATGCTCAGTGTGAGATCTGCATCCCTGGGGTCCAGCGCCACTGCACCGACGGGCAGATGCTGGGAACTTTCCACACCACGCACCAGGACCAAGTGTTGGCCCTCTCTCCCTCGGCCATGAGGGACTGCCACCCCTCATGGGTCTCTTCTCATGCTCAGTGTAGTTTTAAGGGAAGCCAAGTCATTGATTTAGGGCGGGAGGTACAGAACAGCAAGTCAGGTGCTTACACACACAGCCAACCCCGTTAGCTCCCTGGCACCACATCGGTTCCCTCCCCCCCAAGCAGCTCTGGAGTGACCCATGAGCACAGAGTTAGGAATAAACCTTGAGGGCAGCTCGGTCTGACCTGCTCATCCCCCCATTCACAACAACAACAACAACAATAACAAAAAACAAGAACTGGGAATAAGTTTTCTAGAAGGATTCAGCTGCTGGCCAATGATTGATCTTGACATCTCACTGCTGGGGGACAGAGTGAAGAGAGTGACCAGCAGTTTCGGGCACCTCTATGAAAGTGCTCTCAGGAAGAAAGGCCATGAGACACGGCCCTTGGCCTCCTGTCAAAGCCGTGGACATGAAGTTTGGAAAGTGAAAATCTGATTGTAGCGCATGGAACTGACGTGTTCGTTGAGCAGTTGCTGCTCCCGAGAGGGAGAGATGGACAGTTCCGATCCTTGCTCGGAGTCACTGACCTTCGGAACGGTGGGAATCCACAGAGCAGGATGTACGTGATCACACCGGCTGCCCAGATGTCCACCTTCAGGCCATAGCTGGAGAAACAAAGGGGTGTGCAGGAAGAGGATGACTATCCCCGAGCCCATCCACATGCCTGGCCAGTGGGAAACAGCCTTCCGGTGGCCCAGGTGGCTGCTCCTTTCATGGTCCAGAACTCATCTCCCCCCACCAGAAGGCCCGAGAATACATAGCAGTGGAAACACGGACCCGACCCAGGCGGAGGCCCCAACCCAAACCCCCTGGGGTCTCACCCAGTCTCAGCAATGATTTCTGGGGCCACGTAGGTCGGTGTGCCACAGACCGTGTAGAGAGGACCTTCCACCACCGTGGCCAGCCCGAAGTCTCCCAGTTTCAAAGACTTGGTTCCATCAGGATATTCACACACCTGCAACAGAGACCAGTGGGGCTCAAGGGCAGCTTTTAAAAACGTTTTCGTGTGGGCCAGAGAGACAGTGCAGTGAAAAAGGCACTTGCTTCGCACACATCTGGCACCACATGTGATCCCCTGAGCACTGCCTGAAGTGATCTCTGAGCACAAAGCCAGGAGCAAGCCCCGAGCACCACCAGCTGTGGGCTCAAAATATAACCAAAAAAATATTTTTGTCTTATTTTGTTTGGTTTCTGCGGTCCTAGGGGGTCAAACCCAAGGCTTCACACAAGGAAAGCAAGTGCTCTACTCCTGAGCTCCCTGCCTGGCCCATTTACATTGAGTTTGTCCCCTGTGAACACTCACAAGTACATGGTGAGATGAGGTGGAACCCCAAAGCCACATCTGCTTAGACAATCAAAAGAAATTCCTCTGTGTGGTTGTAACACAGTGCATGGACTTTGTGCTCAGAGGTGCTAATCTTGTGCAACGGAAATGTGGAAAAGCGTTTTTCATCCGTGCAGAGACACCTTCCTCGGGAGACGATGGGCAGGTGGGCAGGTGTGCGCACATGCCAGGGGCAGAGGCCCGCCCCGCTCACCAGTGGCACCTGAGAGAAGCTTCTAGGCGTGGAAGCAGGAAATGGTGGGCTCACTGTGTGGGCGATGAGCGCATTCCCTATCCTGTTTAGAAAATGGAATTAGAGCTTGGACAAGATTCAGACGTCTGGCGGGGGGGGTGGGGGGGATGAGCTTTAGGGTCAGAGAGATAAGATGGGTTGAGGCAAATGTTCTGCATGTGGCCAACCCAGGTTTGATCCCCAGCATTACATATGGTCCCCCCAGAGTCAGGAGTGAGCCCTGAGCACCACAGAGAGGGAGGGAGGGAGGGAGGAAGAGAGAGAGAGAGAGAGAGAGAGAGAGGGAGGGAGGGAAGAAGAAAGGAGGGAAGGAAGGAGAGAAGGAAGGAGAGAAGGAAGGAAGGAAGGAAGGAGAGAAGGAAGGAGAGAAGGAAGGAAGGAAGGAAGGAAGGAAGGAAGGAAGGAAGGAAGGAAGGGAAGGAAGAGACACAAATATTATATAGAAATATATCAATTTGTTTTTGAAAACTGGAAAAACTACAAAAGGTTGACGGGCCAATAGCCTCAATAAACCATGGTACATATTTACAGTATTAGTCCATTATTAAGAAGCACTTCTAAATAGTAATATATGGGAACTATTCACTGTATTAGATAAAATATTCAAAATTGTATATAACAAAATATTATTATTGGCATATTTGTGATTTTCTTCTCTACATTCCTCCTTTTCTTCCTAAAATGCTTAAAATGAACATGTACTGGTTGAAAAATTAAGAATAATTATTTTTTGTTGTTGCTTTGGGGTCACACCCAGTTATGCTCAGTGATCACTCCTGTGGGGATGGGGGGGCACATATGGGGTGCCAGGGGTCAAAGCTGGGTCAGCCACACGCAAGGCAAGAGTCCCGGTACTACCGCTCCAGCCAGGAAAAATGAAGTTTGCATTAAAACGACCTCTGCTCGGGCTGCAAGCCTGCAAGCACTGAGGGCCGGCAAGGGTTTGGGAGCGGGCGTAGCTGAAGTCCCAGCCTGTCACCCCGAGCTTCCGTCTCCTAGATTCCGCTCTGAAAACACTTTCCAAGAATGACCGCAGACACTCAGGTGCCCTCGTGTAAAATCTCAACCCTCAGACTTGAAACATATTTAGTCTGTGTTTCCTTGTTTGATCGGAACCAGATTTCCGACCAACCCACCAGTACTTAGAAAAGGAAGAGAGAGATTGAGAGGATGTTTGTTCAAGATAAGCCTGCTGGTCACGTCATGCACGAGGCTGGTACCTAATGAGGGAGGCGGGAGTCTCACAGACATTCACAACCCCCTCCCCCTGTGCTCGACCCCCCCCCCCCCCCCCCCCCCCGTCACTGCAGACGTTTCAAACAGGATGACGAGTGCAGTACCTTGCCCACCCACACCAATCAACCAGGCTACTTGAAAAGCTGCTGCCACGTTCATGGATCAAATGCTCAGACCCTGCACACACCTTCGGAGCTTTCCAATTTCCCAGGCGAAATCGTCAGGACTCAGAGCCCCGCGTGGAGACTTATTATTCCGGGACGCAGCCCACAGCCCAGCAGGAACCTCATCAAAGGCTCTAATGATTTCGCCGAAAGCAACAGAAACCAGGTTCTTAGTCATGCCACAGTCTTAAGACGACGACGACAACGACATTCCATCCATTATGTTTAATGTAAATATTAGCAATCGGAATTACAGTGAGAATTTATGATGCATTTATTGAAACCCAGACTTCAGGAATTCCCGAAGTAATTGTGATGATAAGAACATTATAATTCTACATGTCTGCATCATGGCGGGGGGGGGGGGGGCGGTGGTGGGAGGGGGAATGTTCCATTAATGTCACTGGTATTTTGTTTTGGCAACTTTAAAAAAATACCCTCATTAAGTATGTTATTTGAAAAATAGTGTTTACTTTAGAATTCAATTTAGGGATGCCCAGGGGGTCCTTAAGGGCTGTTGTCAGAGACGCAGCAGTCCCAGAAGGCCCATTTTTCACATCGCCAAGAAGGAATTCAGATCAGATGCAGGAACATAAGGAGAAGACGGGACAGTCCATAATGGCTGAGTTATGTGTGGGCAAGCGGCACGTCTTGGCTGAGCATCAAAAGGGAAGTGTTACTTGGGGCAGGCAAATCTGAAGTGATAGTACTTTATCCAATTTCCCTCTCCCCTATGCGAGACACAGAAGTAAATACATAAAAGGTAGCCTAAGTAAATTTCAAATTCTAGCTGGACATCCCTGCAAAGCCAGCATCTCTAGGAACTGCACAGACCCTTGATGGCACTGCTTGAACACCTTAAACTGGTGGGGGGATATCACATACAACTGTATGAATTGTATGAGGGTACGGCTATCAAAAAATATTCTTAAAGATTTGCTTTGAAATAAGTTTGTTACCAATAAAGCTTCGTTCTCTATTCTTATTTTTTTCTATAAATGTTTTATTAATTTAGAACTTTAGTAAGGAAATGTATTTATTCTTTTTTACATTTTTTAATGAAATGCCGTGAGAGAGAATTACAGATTTATACACTATTCTTATTTTATATACCTATATATATCCATAAAAATTTCTTGAGCGGGACCAGAGTGATAGTATAGTGGAGAGGGCATTTGCCTTGCATGTGGCCGACCCAGGTTCGATCCCTGGCATCCCATATGGTCCCCCGAGCAACACCAGGAGTAATTTCTGAGTGCAGAGCCAGGAGTAACCCCTGAACATCGCCAGGTGTGACCAAAAAAAGTGAAAAAAAAATGAATTCTCGAGCAAAAAAGGGTTGAAGGAGTTCGAAAGTCCATGCTTCCAGCACACACACACACACACACACACACACACACACACACACACACACCTGAGCACACATAACCCTGCTAGTAGAGATTAACCAAAAAGTGGTGACTAGGGCTAGAGAGTGATAATACAGGAGTTAAGGAACTTGCCTTGCACACTGCCAACCTGTGTTCAATTCCTGGCACCCCCATAGGGTCCCCCAAGTCCTGCCAGGAGTCATCCCTGAACAGTCAGGAGTTAAATCCAGAGCAAAGGAAAAAAGGAAGGAAGGGGGGCGGGGTGTGAATAGGGGCCATACACAGAGTACAGGGGTTACTGCAGCACTTTCCTCGTGAGAGGCAGACTAGGGTTCAACTCCCCAGCACCTCATATGGGCCCCTAAGCACTTCTGGGGGGGTGGTCACTTCTGAGCAGAGAGCCAGGTATGGCCTCTGAGCACAGCTGGGTATGGCTTCCAAAAATAAGCAAAAAGAGGCAAATAAACACGCGAGAGCCCAAAGGTTTGGGGCACTGAGTAGTTCATTTCTCCCATAACCAACCACTTAGAGGACTGTGGAGATTTCCGTATTCCCCGAGCATGCCCCAAATGTGAGACTGCCATCATTCCACTAGACAATTAAGGAGATTTTTACCTCCACTTTGCAAATGGAAACTGAGGCCCTTGTGATACTAGCAGGGAGTCAACTGAGGATTCCAGCAAGAGCAGGACTATCATCCTAGACCTAGCCTGCAAATAACTCCTGTTGAATAGAAGTGGCAGGACCCGAGAGTGGCCGCCCATCCCCCCCACCCTCCCACCCCCCAGAGCACACACTAGCACTCACGACCCTGGCCGGGGCCCTGCCCGTGCACACTAGGAAACATGTATGACAGAAGAGGCTCAAAGAAAGCAGAAATGAAGAAAAAAAAAATGTGGAGAATGCAGATCCCACAGACACAGGGACTGTGGCATGTTCGCTAAATAAAACATCAGCGTCATGATTTAGAAGGACTTCAAACACGAGAAACCAACCCTCTCCTCTCCCCTGTCCCCAGAACTCCAGGAAAAGTGGAATTTATCACTGGTCTCCCCTAGTTAACTCTGACAGGGCACCGCCAGCCCGTAACTCACAACATTAATGGCCAGCACCGTGCTCCCTGGCACCGCGGCCCATCCATCTCGCTGGCAGCCGTGTAAATCAGGGCACGGCTCCGCAGGAAGGGGATGCAAATCAGTGTCTCGGTGCTCGGCACTTCAAACCCCCGTTTGTGTTTGGGGTACGCAGAGGCCGACAGTCGCGCCGTGCGTTTACCTTTAGTGCTTTGGTGGCGCTTTCTCATTTCTCCCCATGCCAGCCTGCCATGGGCATGTAGGAAGCGCAAGGGGGCAGTGCCCGTGGCAGCCTGTGGGCTGCAGCTCACCCAGTCAGATGTACGGTGAAGCGCCCCCTGAGCTGGGCCCGCAACCTGTCTGGCTACCATCTCCTCGCTGACCGTCCCCAGCCTCTGCAGGAGCTGCAGCTCACACCAGAGGAGGAAACTGGTTACGCACAGACCCCCGATTCCAGTCTCCCCTGGATGTCCAGGGAGAGCAGGGGTGAGGCGGGCTTGAGTGGGCGGGAGGGAGGAGTTAAGGCGAGTGCCTCACCTGCAGTGAGTGACCCCAGACCAACCCCAGGCGGCACAGGGTCCCCGAGCAGCAGTGCATACCACATCCTCAGGCTCTCCTACTGATTTACAAAGACCCCCCAGGGCCTCCTGAGCACTGCCTGAGAGAGTCCCCTCCAGAATGAATAAAAATTTTCTTTTAAGGGGTGGAGGTTCAATGGGCTGAGTGCAGGCTTAATCCCAGCACCAGATGGTCGTCGCCCAAGCACTTCCTGGAACAAACCAACGACAGAGCTGAGGAGCCCCTAGACATACACACACTTAGAGCGACTTAGAGCGAACAAACACCTTCCAAGGGACAATTTCTCTCTTTGGCATCACCAAGATGTATCACCAAAGAGAGAAAAAGAGATATTATATCTCTGAGAGATACACTGCCACCTTAACGCACACCAGAGCCCGTGCTGAGACTCCCTCTCCCACGCTGAGCGGCCGTCAGAGGCCCAACTCCAGCCATTACTCCACGTCCACTCAGCACTTTCCATGCCCGCTCAAGGCACTGGGGACACAAAGGCATCTGACACACACATCTCGCCCCTCACTGTGCTCACAGGCCAGAGGAGAGGACAGGAAGTGATCAAGAGCAGCAGCTCGTACAGAAAAAGGGACAGCAGAAACCAGTGGTGGCCAGGACTCCATGACGCGGTGACATGAGAGAAGGCATGTCCTGGCATGGCCAGAGTCCCAAAGGCTGAACACATGACCCTTAGGAGGAGCCCCAGGTTTGAGCCCTGTCACTACAAGTCCCCAGAGCACTGCTCAGCGTGACCCCAAACCAAAGGAAGATACTTTTTTTTTGTTTCGTTTGTTTTGAGGGCACACCAGGTGTGCACTCAGGAACCACTCTTGGCAGTACTCTGGGTACCCGATGGGATGCTGGGGACTGAACCAGGGCCTGCCATATGCAAGGCCAACGCCCTGCCCACAGTACTATCTCTCCATCCTCAGAAGATCCTTATTATGTTCTGTGTCCTTCAAAGGAACATGTCTGCTTGAGTTCAGAGAGGATACTGCCGATGGTCACCAGTGTAAGAATAAAGGTGACATTATTTCATGAATATCAGCATGGTTTTTACTTTTCTTCTCTTTAACATAATAGAATGATGTCAAACAAAATAAACAATATTGTTCTGGAAAAAAAAAAGGAATAAAGGTGAAATGAGATTGTACCTTAGCACAACTACTATGACATGTGAAGTGAGTGTCTGAGTCGGGGTGAAGAACCAGATGAGCTCACATCCCAGGCGGGAAGGAGAACGACACACAGTCTGGAAAGGTGGACAGAGATACAACTGTCCCCTGGGTGTATTTCAGGGTGAAATGTGTGCGTGTAGAACTCCCTGATTTCTCTCAAACTCCTCTTCCACGCAGTCGTGAGGAATGGTCCAGGCTCCCAGTGACGGGCCACCACGCGGCCTTTCCTCCCCCAGGAAGGGCTAGACATCACGGTGAAATAAGGCTTTCTTTGTGCAGCAACGGGTCATAGGACCAAGAAAAATGAGCACCTCTGGTTTCAATTTCCACATCTGCAAAGCTGGAAGAATAGACTAGACACTAGATTATTTGCAAAGTTCTGTCCTATACATCTATGAAACCCCACAATCTACTTCTGTCTCCTACCAGCTTCTAGTTCTGTCTCCATTCTTCAGAATTTGTTTCAAAAAAGTAATTTTTGGGCAAAGCAATAGTAGAGGGGGTAGGGCATTTGCCTTGCATGTGGCAGATCCAGATTCAATCCCTGGCATTCCATATGGTGCCATGAGCACCAACTGGAGTGATTCCTGAGTGCACCAACAGGAGTAACTCCTGAGCATCAGCAGGTGTGACCCAAAAAGGCAATAAAATAATAATTAAAAAAAAACTCTTGAGAAATTACCTCATGGTTTTCACTTCTCAAAAAAACTATGAATTGAGCTTCTGTACAACCCAAATCTGAAAACTACTCCAGCATCTAAGCCCAGATATTTGAGTAAAAAAACTGGTATATCAATCCACAATGGAATATCGGTCAGCTGTAAGAAAAGACAAAACCATGCAATCTGCAGCTTCATGGAGAGGCTCATTCAGAGCAAAGTCAGTTAGAAGGAAAGTGTCGGGTGAGAATGATCTATGTGGGATACAAAGAAACACATTACAGGAGTAATAAATGACAAAGACAACAGAACCTGAGAACTGGTCTCGAGAACGCAGCTAACCAAGGCAAGGCCAGCTCTAAGGAGGCGTCCATTCTGCTGGAGTGTGTAGCATTGGGACACTCTATGCATATAACCTTATTGTGAACAGCATCATCAATCCCAGTGAGTAAATAAATGAAATTTAATTGATAATAGTTTTCAGGCTGGGGATAGAGCGCAGTGGTAAGCCTTGTGTGTTTTGAGGCCCTGGGTTTAATCCTTGACACCATTTAAAACATTTTTTCCCCCTTTCTTCTTCCATCAGTCTGTACCATTAGCCAAAATGTGAAGGAAGGGAGCGGGGGAGACAGCCCCACGGGCACAAACACTTGCTTTGATGCAGGAAGCCCAGGGTCAGCCCTAATGTCACCGTGTCAGCATCTGAGTGTATTGGGTATATGGCCAAAACCCCAGATACTAAGCAAATGCAAATGTCTTCTGAATGGTAAAAAAATAAATGCAAAGATATAGATCAGTGAGAAAAAAATCCATTAAGGTGTTTATGGTTATTGAGTTGCACTTGGCTGATTTTCTAAATTTTAATTTTCTCCACGCTTTTATATAGGACCAGCACAGACCAGAGTTGCTCAACTTTTTCCCGACTGCTTTCTCGTCTCAGTCACTTCTGTTTTCTTCATTTCTCACTTCCCTCTGCAGCCCCCCATACACGTGATGTTCATCTCCGGTCCCCTGGAATATTCTGGGGCTCCACGGGGAGATCAGATGGCTCCCGGTGGAGGGAAAGCTGGTGTGGACTAGAAGTTTCTAAACTTATTTATCCACTCAGCGCCTCACTGGAAATATATGGCTTTAAGCAGAGAGAAAGCACTCTCAGTTGCACCTGAGGCTAAGTACTAATGGACCCCACATCATGTGGGGTTCTACCCGGGACTGCTGGCAGGATCCAGCTGTGTCTCGGGAAGAAGGGCGCTGGCCAGGGCCGAGCAGAGGCGAGGCACGTACCAAGAGGTTCTCCGGCTTGATGTCCCGGTGCACGATGCTGAGGCCGTGCAGGTACCTGAGGGCGCTGGCCAGGTTGTACACCATGGCACTGCCGTCTCTCTCGGTGTACTTGGTGGAGGAGGTAATGGCATCAAAGAGGTCACCTCCCTGCGGGAACAGGATGGAAGAGGTCATAGCACCCAGGTGAAGGTAACACAGACGGCTGCAGCAGAACCACAAAATGACACAAGTGACCCTAAAACGGAAGCAAGTTCCCAAAGAGCCAAGCGCTTCTCAGGCTAGACCCTTTCAGCACAAGTCTCAGGGTTGGGCCCCCCTCAAACTCTCACTTCTTACTTTGACCAACTCCATCACCAGGAAGAGCTCTGTGGCCGTCTCCATCTCCTCGACCAGCATGATGATGTTGGGGTGCTTCACTCGGCGCAGGATGGACACTTCGTTCTCGATCAGATGCTCCTGCCAGAGGAGAGCATGGAGAGAGGGGGTGAGAAACCCCGGTCTCTGTTCTCCCTGAACCCTGTCTTATGGCAATGCCCACAGTCTGCTGAGCTGGTGGCAGAGGACCCATCCTCGTGTGTACCAAGATAACCCCAGCCTGGATGAGCCACTTTCCAATGGGGGTGGGGTCAGCTAGGTGATATACCCTGGTCACAAACCAAGAAGATAGAGACAACAAGGACCCCGAGAAGGGCTCCAGGGCAGCCCCGGTGCATAAAGCACGCTGCCTTCCACCCCTCGACTCTGAGACCTCGAGCACACAGCAGCGAGCTCCGCGTAGCCAAGCTGTACCTGGTCATTTCCCGGCTCCTGAGGGATAACTGGGACAACATGGTGTCATCAGCACCCAAGAAACCATTCCTGCTCCCCACCCCAGCGCACACATTTGTGGCAGGTTTTCCTTGGCTGTGACTTATTCATGATTTGCTATGATATATGTTTCCCTCTACTGTCAGAATGACTTTGAGATGGTTTAGATTTTTAAAAATACCTTGTCTTAAAGATAATAGCCACGAAGGGTATCCTCAACTAGAGACTACCTTTCTACTGCGGTGGATGCTGATTTTAGTTTGGAAAGTCATGATTGCAAAGGTTTAATGTGGCAATATCAGACAGATAGACAGACAGACACACACACACACACACACATACACACACACACACACATCATGAGATGCTTCTGAGGGTGTTTGGGGAAGGAAGTATGGCCTACAAGCTCAGTTTATGCAGTGCTGTAGTTGAAAGCCTGGAGTGTGGGGGTCAGAGGACACAGCCACCTCCTTCTTCCTGAGAGGTGGCCTCCTCTGGGGGAGCAGAGATGCCTCGAGCCTGACAAGCCCCAGTGGGAGGCTAAGCTTCCGCCCTGCCCAGGCCCATGTGTCCAGAGCAAGAAGCAGCACACACTGCCCCTGGTCACAAAGGACTACTCAGCACAGTCTCAGGGCCAGCCCTGTCCCCTGTGTCCTCCAGTGCACTAATGAACACCCTTAGGGATACTGAGCCAACACTGGGCACTGAGGGGCTGCAAGGATCCTGGACCCTGCTGTGTCTACCGAAGGCTGCATCAATCCCTAGCCCAGGAGTGCCCTAGGAACTGTTGGGAGCAACCCCCAGGCACAGAACTGGGACTAGCCCCCAAGCACTGCCAGGTTTGGCTCTCAAATAAATATAAAAAAGTTTAAGTTCAGGGCTAGAACAACAACACAGCAGGGAAGGTGCCTGTCTTGCAACCACCCAACCTAAGTTAAATCCCCAGTTTGCCATATGGTCCCCTGAGGCTGCCAAGAGACATCTCTGTGCACTACACTGCAGGAAGCCCTGTGCCCACCAGGTGTGCACGACCCCTGCAATAAAAAGCAAAATGAAACACCAAAAACTTAAGTTCAGGGGCTGCAATGATAGCACAGCAGGTAGGGTGTTTGCCTTGTATGCGGCCAACACGGGTTCGATTCCCAGCTTCCCATACGGTCCCCCAAGCACTGCCAGGAATAATTCCTGAGTGCATGAGCCAGGAGTAACCCCTGAGCATCACCAGGTGTGACCCAAAAAAGCAAAAAAAAAAAAAAACACTTTAAGTTCAGTGTGTCTTTCAGTTCAGTTCTTCTTGAGTCTCAATATTTACCTTTATGGGGGAGAACACTTGTCTTTGATGCTAATTTAAATAGTGCTAATTATTCATGTAAAATAACCCCCAAGTGACAGATAGAGTTGTCTATCACCCAAGGAGACTACACAAGCCCAGAGTAAGTGATATTATCAATGAAAGGCAGAGCAGTGTCCTCACAAATGGGCTGGACCATCACCCTTGGAGTGGGCTTTGCATGGCCAGCACTGAGCTTGGCAGGGCCAGAACAATGGCAAATGCTCCAGGCAGTGGGGAACTGAATCCCGGAAGCTGTGAGTCTCTCTGATTGGGCCTATCAAACTGTCCTTGAAGGAACGACCTACTTTTGAAATTAATCATCATCCTAGGCCAAACACAAGTAGTGCATAAACATGTTTACCGACAGAATCTTCCGACTTCGTACGCAAACCATATGGAATCTGTTCCTAGTATGTAAAAGGACTCTCTGGAACACATTTTCCAGGGAAATATTTCTAAATATAATCTGATCATCATTTTGTGCCTTGAACTGCACTGAACTTACATTATTCAAACGTCTTTCATTATTTATGTTAAGTGATTCAAGGTCCTATCTCCAAATAATTTACATATGAATCATTTCCCTGAGGCCTTCCCGGGTTCTGGGTGAAAGTTAATGACAAAGAAAATTGCAAACTTGGCAAAGGACACAGCCTTATCTTTGGCCAGGTGGGTTTTTAACATAAAATAAAGACAAATGAATTAAGGGAATAGACAACTCTCTGGAAAACAAACTAGTAATCTCCCTTCACTGGTCTGGCCTCTGAGAATCTTGTTTGGTTTTTAGGTCACACCCAGTGGTGCTTCGGGGCTACTCCAGGCTCTGTGCTCAGGGCCAGTCTTCTCTGAGTCCCCTCCAACTCCCTTTGTCCCAAGCAAAGGAGAATTCCTCCCGGAGCTTCTTTCCCTCACCCTCCAGTCCCTGCGATCACCAATCCCGGCCAGGCCAACCTTTGGGTAATGGCCATAGAACCCACCCGTCCGCTTCACTCTGGCCCCGCTGCCGATCTCCTGGACCTCACATTTGCACTGAGAGTTTACCCTAGACATTTTATTTTTGTTCGTTGGGGGGAAGCGGGGAGAGGTGCACAGTGCTGACTCCTGGCTCTGTGCTCTGAGGTCCCTCCTGGCAGTGCTCAAGGAACGAGATGTGATGCCAGGGATCAAACTGGGATTGGCCATGTGCAAGGCAAGGGCCTTAAGCCCCACGCTCGGGCCCCAATTTCTGCATTACTGATAGTTCCTTTGTATCCTTGGGACCAGGTTGGATGGCAGCTTCCCCACACCTCTGTCCTCACTAAGCGCAGAGGGTGGGGCCCTCCCCTAGTTCTCATTGCTTTGTGCCTATCTCAACCGCCCCCCCCCACTCGCCGCCTGCTGATCCTGCTTTCTAGCAAGTCCCGCTGTTCAAAAGCGCCTGAATGAATGAATGGTCAGCAGCGACTCTCAGCTACCCTCTGGGATGCAACCTTGGTGCTGCTGAGGATGAAACAGGAAGAGTGATAAAATGTCCAATGCTGTGATTTCTGCTTGCGGTTCAGTCATACAATGACTAAGGACTGCCGGAAGACACCATGGAACTTGGAAACAGTCCCACGTCGGAAAGAGGGTGTCTGCAAATGCAACAGGAGATGAGGACTAGTGCGGCAGTTGAGGAAGCAGGCGCGGTGCGTGCCAGCAACCCCAGTTACGATTCCCGGGAACAGAGTTCCCCAAGTACTGCTGGGAGCAACTCCCTGAGCACAGAGCCTGGAATAGACCCCAAGCACCACTGGGTGTGGCCTAAGAACCAAAAAAAATTCTGAGAGGCCAGAGTGAGAGTACAGAGAGTAGGCCCCCCCCTCCCGTTGATCATCGATTTGCTCAAGCGGGCCCAGTAACGTCTCCATTGGAGACTTTGTTGTTACTGTGTCTGGCATATCGAATACGTCACAGGGAGCTTACCAGGCTCTGCCGCGCAGGCAAGATACTCTCGGTAGCTTGCCGGGCTCTCCGAGAGGGGTGGAGGAATCGAACTCGGGTCGGCCATGTTGGCCATGTGCAAGGCAAACGCCCTACCGCTATGCTATGGCTCCAGCCGGAGAGAGTAGGGCATTTGTTTGAATTCAGCTGACCCAGGGTTCAATTCTTGGTACCCTATGCGATTCCCTGAGCACTGTCAGGAATAATTTCTGAGAGCTGAGCCAGGAGTAAGCATTGAGCATAGCCACCACCAAGAGAAAAAAAAAAACTGAAATAAAAATATTTTCTCTGGGTTATCTGACACTATGACATCACAGGCCCTGAAGGCAGGTGAGGGTTTCTGTAGAGGGTGCTGGGCACAGGAAGACGTGAAGATGGGCACAGAGACGATGTAACCACAGAGCAAGGCACCCAGGAATACCACCAAGGTCCCAAATCTACTTATCGGACTAGACCGATAGCATAGCATGTAGGGCATTTGCCTTGCACGCAGCGGACCCAGGTTCAGTTCCCAGCATCCCATATGGTCCCCCAAGCACCGCCAGGAGTAATTCCTGAGTGCAGGGCCAGAAGTAGCCCCTGAGCATCGCTGGTGTGACCCAAAACAGCAAAACCAAATCTTCTCAGAGTCAAAGAGCAGATTTCCCCCTGGAGCCTCCAGAGGGAGCACAGAGTTTTGTTTGTTTTTTTTTTTTTTTTTTTTTTTGCTTTTTGGGTCACACCCGGCTTTGCACAGGGGTTACTCCTGGCTCATGCACTCAGGAATTACTACTGGCGGTACCTGAGGAACCATATGGTATTCTGGGAATCAAACCCGGGTCGGCCGCGTGCAAGACAAACGCCCTTTAGTGAATCATCATGGGGTGCAGTTACAAACTTACAAATTTTCATGCTTGCGGTTCAGTCATACAATGATGGAGTACCCAGCCCTCCACCAGTGCCCATTCTCCACCACCAATGATCCCAATATCCCTCAGTACTTGGATGGGAGCACAGAGTTGGAACTTGTAGCCTGAGAACTGGGAAAGCAGGGCTAGGGACACAGAGAGGGAGTCGGGGCCCTGCCTTGCACAAAGCTGACCTGGGTTCTATTCCCACCCCGTCTGGTCCTCCAAGCACCTCCAAGCACTCAGGAGTTATCCCTGAGCACAGAAGGTAGGAATCAGAAGTGAACACAGCTGGGTGTGACTCAAAACCCCTAAGAAGTTAGAAAATAAATTCCTGTTATTGTAAATTATTGTAAGTATTGGGATAATGAAAAAAAGCAGCTTCAGGAAACAACACAATATATTTTGGGGTTTATGTCCTGTGTGGGCCCCTAACATGTAGGTAGTGGGCAGTGAATGCAAATCAGCAAAGAAGCAAGGCCATTTTGGGTCACACCTGGTGATGCTCAGGGGTTACTCCTGGATCTGCACTCAGGAATTACCCCTGGAGGTGCTCAGGGGACCATATGGGATGCTGGGAATCGAACCTGGATCGCCCCGCGTGCAAGACAAACGCCCTACCCGCTGTGCTATCGCTCCAGCCCCAAGGCAGGGCCATTTTTAAGCACCAAAGAGAATATTCCAGGCTCCTGACCTGAGGGAAAGGCAATAAATACATACTTGGAATGGAAGGAAATATCAGACATAGAAGAATCACTAAATGCACAAGAACCGTAGCCTTTTCAACAGCCTCCATCAATCTGGGACCAGAGCACCTCTTGCAATAGTCTGCTCAGAAGAACCGGGTGTGATGTTTGTCCTTGAGCCCCTGCAGAGGCCAGGCATGTCACCATGATGTAGGCAGGATAGGGAAGCCCCCTCCCAAGGCAATGGCAAAAGCTGACCTTGCAGAAAATAGGAAAAACAGGAAGTAAGGCCTGAAAAGACTCTCACCTATCTACAGCAACAGACCCAGAGAGCTCCTGCAGAAACAAAAGACCAGGAAAGGAATTTCAAAGACCATCAGCACTGCCAACCCCCTGGTAACCTCTAGCAATGGACTTTTAACTAGGAAGAAGTCCCAAATGGGGGCAGGTTGGAGAAACCCTATAAAGGCCATCATGAGCAAAGAAAGTGTGTGCATACGCTGCTTGTGCCCACATGGCCAAGCACATGTGGTGCCTGAACACATGTGTCACCCGAATCTCCCCTCTTGAGATGTGTACTTTCATGCTTTCATGTCTAATTTTGGGGTGTATGCAGGGGCTCTCTCCGCCCTTGGAGAAGCCCGGGTTCTCTCTTGAGCGCGTTACTCTTCACTCTCTCCCACTTTCTCTTCCTCCTTCCTTTCAAAACCTCCAAATAAAATGTTTCATCTCACCACTTGTCTACTCCAGGAATTCTTTTCTGCGAAGCAAGACAAGAACCCAGTAACCCTGGGTGCCAGGTGGCAAAGGTGGATTGGGAGAAAGTGACCGTCTATCTCCTCCCTACTTCACATAAGTCACCCGTGAGGGCCCACCGACATCAACCAGACAGGACTGGGTCCAGTGGGGTGGTGCAAGCAGGACCCCAAATTCCCATCGCTGCTGTTCCCGGAGTGACGAAACTCCTGGCCCCAATGCCAGTTCCTTCCCTGTGAAACTGTGTGTTTTTTAAGTCTTTAGACGTTATGCACAAAACTCCAATACATCCCAGCCTGAATGGATACTACAGTTTAATAAAAGGCTGATGTCATTTTCAGGATTGATCTTCTGTGTACAACCCAGAGAGCAGAAGTAAACAATAAGACCCTAAAAATAAGTTCTCTTACATAGCAAGATTTTTTTTTTTGGTCAATTACTGACAAATCTGTTTACACTTCAATCAGATACACAGACTCCTTCCCATAGCAATTTTCGTCCACTGCTTTTGAAAAAGTTCTTTCATACCAGTTGTTTAGAACTTGGCTCTCAAAATGATGATATGGTCTACTCGAATTGCATCAAGCCTGATGAAAAGAGCAACAGTGTGTGAGCCAGAGTGAAAGAGAGTAAGGGGAATACAGACAGAGAGTAAGGGCACTTGCCTTGCAAGCGACTGACTTGAGTTAAATCCCCATCACCCCTTATAATCCCCCAGGCCAGCCCAGAGTGCTCCCGAGTGCAAAGCCAGGAGTAAGTCCTGAGCACCGCCAGCCATGCCCCCTCTCCCAACCCCCTCGCCACTCACTCGAAATAAAAAGCTACTAATTATGATCTTGTCACAGAGCTGGGCTGGGTGACAGCTCCAAGGCAGCCCTGCCCAGCGCAGAATGTAAGCATGGATCTGTACAAAGCATTCACAGATACTGTACCTTGCCACAACATTTGGCTTTGTCTATTATCTTTAGCGCAAACTCCTTTCCAGTGGACCTAGGAAACAATCAGAGGAAGGCAGTGAGAGGCAGGGGAGAAAGAGGCTGCCCTGAGTCCTGATGGCCCACCCTGGGGGCCCGACTGCGCTGCTGTCAGAGGCGATGCTGAGGGGTATCAGGGAAAAAGGGCCCCAGAGGACCCCAGAGCCATACAGCCTCCTCTCAGACAAACCAATGACTATAGCCCCATCATCACTCACTAACATACCTCTAAATTACTTAACTCTGTTGTACCAGAGTTGAACTATAAATTTTATTTATTTATTTATTTATTTCTGAGCTGGAGAAACAGTACGGAGACATTTACACCCTAGTTTTATCCCTGGCACCGCATATGGTCCTCCGAATTGAATCAAATCAACCAGTATTGATTCCTGAGCACAGAGTCAGGAGTAAGCTCAGAGAACCACCAGATATGGCTCAAATCCAACTTCTCCCCCCCCCCATAAATAAATAATTTTTCCATGTTTCAGCATGTTTCTCCTTAAGGATCAGAATAGAATGAAGAAAAATGAATCAAACTAAAACTATAAATTGTTCATATTTGGTAATACCTTTACATTAATTTCTTAGTCACTTAATTAACCTACAATTGAAAACTAAAACGACCCCAAATTTTGAATATCCATTCCTCAATCAAAATCCCAGTTAGGATTGGTGCTATCTTATGAGCCACACCTTTAAGAGACCGTCTCTGGTGCTAAAAAAATAATTTACTTGCATGCAAGAATCTAGATGATATTATTTGGTATTTTATTATCATCTTCTGTCACTGTCACTGTCACTGTCCTTCCGTTGTTCATCAATTTTCTCGAGTGGGCCCAGTAATGTCTCCAGTGTGAGACTTTGTTGTTACTGTGTTTGGCATATCAAATACGACACGGGTAGCTTGCCAGGCTTTGCCGTGCGGGCGAGATATTCTTGGTAGCTTGCTCTCTGAGCTCTCTAAGAGGGGCGGAGGAATCGAACTTGGGTTGGCCATGCTGGCCCCGTACAAGGCAAACGCCCTACCCATTGTGCTATCACGCCAGCCCATTATCACCTTCTACATAATTTAATCTGGACATATCCGTAAAGTCTCTTGGTGAGGGAAAAAATGTTTGACAGCGAACACTGCAGCCTGGCTGGGGCAAGTGAGTTCTCTGGATTGAGCCTGCTCTGCCATGGGGACACAAGACACACAGATGAGCCTTCCTAGAAGAAGAATCTTATGTTTTTTTCTCTGTTTGATTTTGGGTCATACCCAGTGATGCTTAGGGCTTATTCCTAGATTGTGATCAGGAATCACTCCTGGTGGGGCTCAGGAGATCATGTGAGGTGCCGGGGATTACTGTGTACAAGGCCAGCACCCAGCCCGCTGTGCTATTGCTCCAGTCCAGGAAGAATAACTTTCTTTCTTTCTTTCTTTCTTTCTAATTTTCATTTATTTATTTTTTAAATTTTTATTAGTGAAACACCATGAGGTACAGTTGTAGACTTACAAACTTTTGTGCTTGGGTTTCAATTATACAATGATCAAATACCCATCCCTCCACCAGTGCCCATTCTCTACCACCACTGATCCCAGTATCCCTCCCACCCCCCATCTCCCCCATCTCACCCTGCCTCTGTGGCAGGGCATTCCCTTTTGTTCTCTCTCTCCTTTTAGGTGCTGAAGAATAACTTTCATCTAAATTCCTTCCTCACAACATGAACCAAATCCTGCCGTGGCTCTCTAAGATGCTTCCAGAAATCAGACTATGTCACTGGAGTGACAATTTGTGTAGCAGACCTAGACAGAACTGCTTAAAAGACAGGCGCAAATTAAATTACTTCATTTTCTCCTTCTAGCGCAGTGATATTCCTTTATCATAGATGCCACTGTTTTATTTTTTTACCTGCTCTTAGAACAGAATAACCAAATGTCAAAGGCAAAAGGACCCTTGAACCAAGCCTGCCAAAGCACTGTGTTGGGGAGGAACCCTCAGACACCAGGAGAGAACGTGGGTGCAGGGCCTGGAGTCTGACATTCACAATTCTGTAAGGCACAGTGATCCAAAGGAAACTATAAATAATTTTGTTATACTTTACAAACCAAAAATATACAGTCAGAGGCTCCTTAAACGACGCTGGCATTTCTTTGTGCACCAATATAATAACCTCCCTAACGATGAAGCCAAAACGAGAAAACCAGTTATCACAAATTTCTGAAAAAGTCCCCACAAATAATACGAATCCCCACTTAGAATAAGTGCAATAGTGACCTCACACAAACTCTAGCTGGAGTCTTCCCAGCTTTAATCTTGTTTATAAGAGGCCTGGATTTGAAAAGAATACATTGAAGTTGGCCAAGCCACACAGTGACTTTAATGCAGAAGCTCAGTATACATAGAAAGTTGGTCGATACCGTGGGGACTGAATGACCTGAAACAAGACCTGGTACCAGTGTCATGGTTAAGTCTTTCTCCTTCTTCTGGATGAAGTTTACTCTTTCCCCTCGAGCTCCATGCAAAGTGGGGCTCCACCTTGGAGCATACTGTATTTTCCCTTTTCAAATTGCTGGTGGAAATGAAAAACAGCTGATACCAAGGACAGAGACTCTTTGGGAAGAGGGAGAGACTAGTGAATTCGGTTCGTTACGGTGAGAATAAACTGCAAGGGAGAAGAGTCTGAGGAGGTAACACATGGTGTCGTACCAAACCACTCACCGGTCCATGCACTCCTTGACCACGGCAAAATTGCCATCGCCGATAACCTTCCCAATCTTGTATTTCTCAAGGAGAGTTGATGAGTCAGAGCACCTGTTTCCATTCACGCCTGCAAATGTGGACAAAGGCAGTCTAATAAATGCATCAGCATCTCACCCTGACCCCCATGTCTGTGAAATAAATTGCAATGAATTATTTCAAACTGTGGTGAAACTAAAGCATATCTGAATTTGTCTTCTGAGCAGAACACCTGACTCACCAATTTCCTTCTGACCTTATTAGCTGGAGTCAGAAACCAGTATAATCCAGAAACCTAAACAATTCCTGATCTATTGATTGAAATAAATGACACGTTTGGGGGTAAAAGAAAAATCCAACAAAATCTCTTTATACTTATTTTGTCAACTCTTGAGAAAGGGGAAGGGAATAATTGTGGGGATTTAATCTTAGAGAAATTCTCAAGGTTTTCCAGACAGCAAAATTCAACACAGAGAGGAGACTATGTGAAGACAAATTTTGGTTCAAAATCTTCCCCCCTCCCCCCAAAAAAAAACAGGGCAGGAAGAAGAAATAGCTGAAGACAGACAATGTTTCACAGGTACCCTCATGCCCAGCACATGGCTGATAGAAAAAAAGAAAAGACATTTTTGGGGACCAGAGAGATAGAACAGGGGTTAAGGTGCTTGCTTTGCATCCCACCAATCCCATTTCAAATCCCACCACCACATACGGTCCCCCAAGCACTGTCATATATGTCACACCTAGAGCAAATGTTGAACTCGAATAGACTCATTAGGCTCAAGAGGACAAGATAACAGATCTTGTCCTCTAGACCCTAAATAGCCTACTCACGCACATGCCCTGCCCTGTGTAGGAAGACAAGCGTTAGCACAGGTGTATTTGGGATGGCCACCATGTTGGCATAGAAGCCAAAATCACCAGTCTGAAAATTACCTTCAGGACTCATGCAGCGTTCAAGTTCAGGTCCCCCATTTACAGTGGAAGATGACCTGCCGTGTGCAGAAATCTGCTGGAAGAAGGAAGTGGTGGTTACTTAAGAGGATAAACACACGGTTTTGTAGGCTGGTGGTACATAGATCATAGAAAAATGCTTATCTACTGGAAGTGTATGACTATACAGAGGAAGTATGTCTTTTTATTGCGTATTTCTCCCCATTTCTATCACACTGAACTCAGCTTCTTTAGCTGGATTGAGACCGTTAGATTTGGTCTTGATATAAGGCATGTTACATTGGAGGGCTCACAGCTGAACAAATTATTTAATGGTGACAAAATAACACAGGTAAGTCTAAGAATCTGGTGCAGATTTCCGTCACAGGGCCATGCCACCGGCCCTGCAAAGGGCAGAGTGGCAGCTCCACTCCCAGGTTACAGATCCTCCCACCCGCTCCAGGATCCCGGAACCCAGAGTACAGCCTCCTCCTGTCTCCTTCTCCAGTGCTGAGAGCAGAATTTGCTCTTGAGCACTATAAGGATCTACTACCAGGAACCCAGGAAACATAAAAGATAAAGCTGGCCAGAAAGGTAGCTCAAGGCTTGGCATTCTATCCCCAGCACCACACGGTACTGAGCACTGCCAGGGGTGATACCTGAGCACTAAGCTAGGAGCAGTCCCTGAGCACCGCCAGGTGAGGCCCAATGAGAAACAGAACCCAGCATGGCTCTGGTGACCTCTGTCTCTTAACGACTGCACTGGCTGGTTCATTTCAGGAGTTGGCGAGCAGAGAGCACTGGACGTGCAGGGCTTCCCGTGTTCTTGATGAGCGAGAGCACCAACCGACAGTGCCTAGGCATGTGCGAATTGCACCCCTCGAGGTGACCTGATGGATGGCAACGCCCGGGTTCCTTCTCAACACCAGACACTGGTTCTGAAAGATGTGTCTACACTAGGGGACCTGGAGAGAAAACGGGGCTCACCCTCAGGGGGTCCTGTTAGGGGAGGAGGAAGGGTGAAGGGGACAGCTACTGCGGCTCATGGCTGGCGGCCGACCCACCTGCCTACACACCTGCCTGACTTTACAAAAGGGAAATGCAGAGGCCTCTGCTACCCCGCTGCCTCCAGTCCCCACAAAGGAAAGGGAGGCCCAGTCCCGGGGAGCCATTTATGCACCAAACACCAGCCATAAGAGGTGACCCCCCCAGCAGAGAATGAGACTGAGTCCCCAAGACAACACTGTCCCTCTTTGGCTTTTGTTTCTGTCCCCCTTCTCAACTCCATCCAGAGGTGAACTAGCCATCCAATATTTCCGGGGTCACTGGGGGGGGGGAGGGAGGGAGGGAGAGAGTGAGAGAGAGAGAGAAAGGGAAAAATGGGGGACTGAGGGGGAGATAGGGAGAGAGAGAGAGGAAGGGAGGGAGGGGGAGAGAGATGGAGGGATTGAGGGAGGGAGTGAAGGAGGGATGGAGGGAGGGAGAGGAAGAAAACGGGAAAAGAGAGGGAGAAAGAGGGAGAGGGAGAGAGAGGGGGAGAGGGAAAGAGTGAAAGAGTGAGAGGAGAGAGAGGGAGAGGGGAGAGAGGGAGAGAGAGGAAGAGAGAAAGAGAGAGGGAGAGGGAGAGAGAGGGAGAGAGAAGGAGAAAGAAGAATAAAACAAGGCAAGCCTTTCAGCAAAGAAGATTATGAACTAGTTTAAATACCAAAGAAAAGTCAAACCTCCAGGGGAAAGTGAAAACGTCCAAGGTCAGAGCTACCGGGGATTTACATTTCACAGCTTAGAAAAGAAGTTTGGAAGTTCAGAAGGTCAGAGCGCCCCACTTGAGCGCTGCCAATCAGCATGAGATACTACCAGCCCTTTCATCACACTCCACAAATCTGGGAAATCTTTCACCACCGGCAGACCCAGGAGACACCCTCCGATAAAACATCAGCACATCAGACAGTTTATAATCTCAAGATGTTGGAGAATGTTCCAAACGTCCCTCTTTCCCCATCTCCCCACCCACTTCTTTCTTCCTTCCTTTCTTCTTTCAAGCAGCAAGAACCCTCACAGCAGACAGCCTCGGGCACACGTCTCGGCCTGGAAACATCTGACTCCTCGCGGTCACAGCTGTGCCCTGACTCCCAAGCCTAAGTCACCACAGCCTTGAAAGTCTTCAGTCGGGACATGGATGATGAATTAAATTTCAGGGAAATGCTCTGTTCATCCATCTGGCAGCTGATGACACATTTAGTACTCTTTATTGCTTATCTGTCCCAAAGAAAATGCTGTGATTTAAGCCGAGTAAATATTCCCACCAGGATCTTTATCAGCCGGATCGAAGCGATTGTGAGGCGCTGGGCAGAGGACACAGAAGATCATGGGCCGAGGTCAAGGGGGCCAACTGGGAATCAGGAAGAGGTGAGTTAAGAGAAGCCAATGTCGGTGGTGACCTCGCAGACTGGGAAAAAATATTTACCCAGCACTCATCTGACAAAGGCTTAATATTCAAGATATATACAGCACTTATAACAACAACAAAAACAATCCCATCGAAAAACAAGAGATGAGAGGGACAGAAATTCCCTCAAAGACATGCAGATGACGGAAAGGTACATAAAAAAAGTTCTCTGTGTTCCTTATCAACAGGGAAATGCAAATCAAAACAACAGTAAAACATTTCACACTGGGAGGCTGGCACACATCACAAATAACAAAAACAGCCAGAGTTGGTGGGGGTGTGGGGAAAGGACCCTTATCCACCACGGCTGGTCCAGTCTCGCTGGGAAGCAACATGAACGCTTCTCAAAACACTAAGAATTGAGTCACCACATGATCCAGCCACTCCCTTTCTTGGCACCTATCTCCGGGCCCAGAATCTATATCCCAAAAGGCATTAGTGCTCCTATGTCCAGTGCAGCACTGTCCACGACAGCCAAACTCTGGAAGCAATCCAAGTGTCTAAGAATAGATGACTAGATGAAGAAACGATGGTGTGTACGCAATGGATACGCCTCAGCTCCAAGGAGAGGTGAAATCACGCGAGATGCTGCTGCACCCAGAGTATTATGCCCAGTCAGTCCGAAGGACAGGGGCGGACACAGAATGATCTCTCTCATGTATGGGGTATCACGAAACACAGCGGGGACCCCACAAATGGCCAAAGGCAACAGAGACTGGGAACTGGCCTTCAGAAGAGAGTTTAGGAAGGTTGGGAAGCGGAGGAGGGAATATGTGGAGCTGGGCCTCTGCGGACACAAAACCCTGTCAGTAACAGTATCACAAACAAGGATGGAAAGAAGGGAAGGAGAGGGGGAGGGAAGGACAGAGGGAAGGAGAGAGGGAGGGGGGGAGGAGAGAGGGAGGGAGGAGGGGAGGAGAGAGGGATGGAGGAAAGGAAGAGGGGAGAAGGGAGGGAGGGAGGGAGTAGAGAGGGAAGGAGGGAAGAGATGGAGGCAGGGAAGAGAGCAGAAGGGAGGGAAGAGAGAGAGAGGGAGGGAGGGAAGGAAGGAGGGAGGGAGGGAGGGAGGGAAGGAGGAGTGTTCTAGTACTTACAGGCGAGTGATGGGGTTGCAGTAAAAAGCCCTCCTGGAACCCAATGAGGTGCAACAGCCTGGGAGACACTGCAGCCCCCAAAGGGAGCCGGGACTGAGCTGGTGAGTGAGCAGGAGGCGCCTTGGGAAGCAGCTGAGAGGCGGAGGTGGGCTTCGAGGACCCAGCAGGCCCTGAGGCTCCCAGTAGCACCTCACAGCTGCCTGCCAAGCCCCGCACTCTCCTCCCGGGCTCAGCTGGCTTAGGGACAGCTTCTTGGAAACTTACTTTTTAGGGATTTTTTCGGGGGGGGGGATGGCAAGGGGCCTTCCCCAGTGGTGCTCAGGGCTTACTACTGGCTTTGTGCTCAGGGATCACTCTGGGGTGCTCAGGGGACCCTATGGGGTGCCGGGACTCAAGGCAGGGTCGGTCCCACGAGAAAAAGGGAAGAGCTTTGCCCTTTTCTACTTCCCATCTGGAAACTGACTTTAAGTGAAAATTAACGTATCATGAAACCCACAATAACAGAAACAAGCGCCAAAGGGGGGAGTCAGCTTCCGGGGATGAGCCCCTGGGGGCCTGTGGGCGGTAGGGGCAAGTCCTTGGATGAAACGTGGTGGGACCACAGTGCTCGCAGTCACCTGCCCAGCATACCCAGCCTGGCTGCCCCCTGCATCATCGGAGCCGGCCTCCTCTTCCGACTGTGACGGGCGCCCCCAGATGAATCCCATCCTGGCCAACAACAAACCCCGACACCAACCTCAACCTTCCCACCCCAACCCCCATTCTCAGGGCCTGGGCCGTCATTTCTAATCTATGTCCCTTCAGGTTTGGTGTGTGTGTGTGTGTGTGTGTGTGTGTGTGTGTGTGTGTGTGTGTGTTTGGGGGGGGCACACCCTGCAGTGCTCGGAGGTTACTCCTGATTCTGTGCTCAGGGATCATTCCAGGCAGGCTCGAACAATCAAACTTATTAAACTCACGTTGTGCCAGGGCTCAACCCTGGGGTTGATCCATGTGCAAGGCCAGTGCCCTGCGTGTTGTACTATCACTTCAGCTCCTCTGTGTCTGCTATAATACTCTTCTCCAGTGAAAACCAAAAGGCTTAACTATGAACCTGGGCATTTCTTCTGATCTCCACGGGGTCAGACAAAGTGCCAGATCCAGTGTAGACCACCTCGCCTAGACCGTCTCCTACTGGACACCCACTGGACACCCACCTTGTCTTGATTCCTGAAAACCTATGGCTGAAACTCCTTTGTCACTCACCTTCTTTCATCCACACTCACTCCAGGAATGTTGTTCCCTTACACACACACACACACACACACACACACACACACACACACACCACACATACCCCCACACACACACACTCACATTATTGTTTGATTTCAGAGGATCTGGAAACGTCTTAGCCCAAGTATTCAGAAGAAAGACTCCAGAAGGCCTTACTCAGCAGGGCTTGGCCTCCCGCCCACACAAGTACTGCCCTGGCTGTCTGGGTGGGCAGCGCTGAAAGACTGTGGTGAGAGCTGAGACCCTGAATATTTAGGATCCTGAATGGCCAGCAGGCCCATGAACAAGTTTTTCCTGGGGAGGGAGGGGCTGCACCTGGCTCTGTGCTCAGGAGTGACCCTGGGGTGCTGGGATTTGAACTGGCGTCGGCCGCAACACGCAGGGCCAGCACCTCGCCTCCTGGACTATTCCTCTGACCTGCTCAAGCTCATCTCTAAACCTCAGTTTTCTAAAAGGATGACTTTCAGCTTCCTTCAGCTTCGGCTTTATAGAACCGCAGAGCCGAAACAAAAACCGAAACTCATAATCAAAGGACAACTCTTTCAGTTGTCCTAAGGTCTTTCTTTCCAAAACACACAATGGCTTGGCTGTCACCCTATTCCGTATCCTCCCATCCTGCAAAAAGTGATTCACAATTTGCTAAAGGCTTTGCTTCCTTCCCCTCCTGGCCTTGGTCCAGCCCCTCAAAGAACTGGATCTGTTATGAACTTGAATGGCGGGGAGATGCTCTCTTCCCAGAAGCACGCTCTCTTCTTCTTCTTCTTGGGGGGGGGGGGGCGTGGGGGCACAAGTACTCTGGGTGGGCAGGGGCTGCTTTCGAGTTGCTCCTTTAATTTGGGTGAACAAACCAACCCAGCATGGCTGGTGTGATGAGACTCACCTTTACTACTCTGTTCCTTTTCCATGCCCCCTCCAAAACACCAAAAATGATTTCCAGAGCCTGGCACGAAGGTGGGAAGGGAGGGGGCGAACTCTGACAGAATATCAAATTCTCCTTACTTTAAATTTACTACATTCCCTACTTTGTAAGACTCAGTTAAACACACATACAAACACACACATACACACACACACACACACACACACACTCATAAACACACGTGCAGACACATACACACAAGCATGCACACACAGACTCGCAAACACACACAGACACACAAGCAAACACACACACACACACACACACACACACACACACAGAGCTATGTTCCTGGAGGGGACAGACATGAGTGTGGAGCTGCACACACACCCTGCGGGGTCGCCTTGGTTTCCATTCTCTAAGAAAATAATCTCTTCTGCCAAGTCAGAGAAACAACTCAGCAGGATGAAGACTGGGAAGATTCCTGCCCGTTAAAAGCAGTGCTTCGCTGCCTCTAAGCTGATCTACATCCAGGCTTAGACACGAGGGGGAGCAAAGTGGGGCACCCCACGTGGAAATCGTCCGTGTCTGTGTCACCTGCTCGGAACGCCGTGAGGAGAGAAGGCAGGCGAGCACGCACAGACGCTGAGTGGCGCTTCACAGATGACATCAAAATTAGGGGCTTTGTGCAGCAAGTGATGTGACGAGGTCTCCGTATTTCAAAGGCAGATTGTTCACTCCAAGAAGAATGAAATGTGGCCCAGATGGCGGGAGACCCCAGGGAACAGAAACAAGCTCTGGCTCAAGGGCACAACCAGCCATCAGAGATTTTTCTCTGGCCTGGGGGCTGACAGCTGACCTGGGGGCAGAGCCTTCTTTAGAAACAAATATTTACTGGGGCTGGAGAGATAGTACAGCAGGTAGAGTCTGCCTTGCACATGGCTGACCTGGGTTCGATCCCGGCATCCCCTAGGGTTCCCCCGAGCACCACCAGGAGTATCCCTGAGTGCAAAGCCAGGAGTCACCCCTGAGCATCGCCAGATATGGCCCAAAAACCAAAGGAAGGGAGAACAAAGGGAGGGAAGGAAAAGAAAGGGAAGGAAGGAAGGAAAGAAGGAAAGAAGGAAGGAAGGAAGGAAGGAAGGAAGGAAGGAAGGAAGGGAGGGAGGGAGGGAGGGAAAAAAGGGAGGGAGAGAGGTAAAGAAAGAGAAACTATATTGCAAACTAACTTACAAAATAAAAAAAAATTTAAAAATAAAGAAGCAAATACAGAATTTTTTAAAAATATTTTATAGCTGAGTATATTGACTGAGTTTATAGTATATGACTCTTACTACGTTGAAACACATTTCCTCTATCCTCTTTTTATTGATTTTTATTATTAATGCATGCTGAATCTTGTCTAATGTTGGTATCATATGACTTTTTTGTTTGTTTTGCTTTTCTGGAGTCATACCCAGAGATACTCAGGGGTTACTCCTGGCTCTGCACTCAGGAATCACTCCTGTCGGTGCTGGGGGAACCATATGGGATGCTGGGGATGGAACCCAGGTAGGTCACATGCAAGGCAAATGCCCTACCTGCTGCACTATTGCTCCAGCCCTGGGATCATACGACTTTGTTTCTACTCTTACAGTACATTTATGTGGTATATCACAACGATTGATTTGCATATACTGTACTTTCCTTACATGTGAAATAAATTTCTCTTGATCATGAAAGAAAAAGAGAAACAAAGAGATAAAGAAAGAGAAAGAAAGAAAGAAAGAAAGAAAGAAAGAAAGAAAGATGAGAGGAAGGGAGGGAGGTAAAGAGAAATAGAAAAAGAAAAAAAGAGAGAAAGAGAAAGAAAGAAAAATAAAAAGAGAAAGAAAGAAAGAAAAAGAAAGAAAGAAAGAAAGAAAGAAAGAGAGGAAGGAAGGAGGGAGGGAGGAAGGGAAGGAGGGAAGGAGAAAAAGAATGAATGAATGAATGAATGAATGATTTACTGTAAAGCCCACCTGTTGTCTTGAAGACACTGTCCCTCTGCCTCCCCGTTCTTTGGCACGTGACAGGCAGAGACGGGCACGCCTGCCCCGCCGTGGGCTCCCTGGGCTCCTGCCACACACCTGCCAGCTCCCCAGCGCTCACACCTGAGCTGGCCCAGGGGTTCCGCAGCAGCGCCCCTACAGGGCATACCTATACCTGCAGCTCCATATTCGGGGGCATTCCTGCCCCTCCCTGCGCTCAACCCCCCCAGGCCCATTTGCGGACTCCAAAGTGAGAACAGAAAAAGACCCTCCAGTCTCCCAAACGAGTTTGGAGTTTCTGTTTTCCACAAGGTGAATCCTACTACTTTCTTCATTGGGTTTCGGTCCCCACCTGGCTGTGCTCAGGACTCACTCCTGACTCAGAGATCACTCCTGGCAGAGCTCGGTACAACATACAGGGCACACCTATACCTGCAGCTCCATACTCAGGGCATGAACCCAGGCTGGGTCGGGCACGGTGAGCAGCTGGTATGCTGTACCGCCTCTCTGGTGCCCGATCCTGGCACGTTAGCGGTCATTTAGAATCAAATGCCCTAATGCCAGCCTCACTACACAGACGAGGGAGAGAAAATGCAGAGGCCCTCAGGTGTGGTGGGGGAGAAAACGGCTGTCACGGAGAAACTACTGCTTTGGCTTATTTATAAGATCATAGTCACCTTCTATGTACTTAGTGCTGAGGATCAATCAAAAATCATAAATCATCCTGTTAATTGTCGATTGCCTCGAGCAGGCCTCAGTAACGTCTCCTTCATCCTAGCCCTGAGATTATATTCAAGGCTCTTTAGGAGAATGAGACCCATCATTGTTACTGGTATTTGGCATATTGGGTACGCCACGGGGAGTTTGCCAGACTGCCGTGTGGGCAGGCTACATTCGGTAACCTGCCAGTTTGTCCAAAGTAGGAATGAGATAATAAGATGTCATAATAGGATGTGCTGAGGATACTGTAACAATAACGATACACCAGTTGATGGGTCTAGAGACATAGGCCAGGGATTCGTGATTTTTACAATAAAAGGAACGTGACCATCCATGGCACCTTTCCTATATCCCACTCAACCATAGCCACACCCTCTGTTCCTGTTTAAGGGAAGAGAACGCTTTCAGCTCAGAAGAACTGGGTTGGCCCCACATTACAAAATGAAATAGGACACAGAATTCGAAGTTAGGCCTCCCTGGCTGTGTCCTAAACTTTCTGCGTTTTGATTTGTTACTGCACTCAAGGCCCCAAACAAAGTAAACTAATAAACTACTGACATACCTTGAAATATTGCGGGCCTGGGTCCAGAACACAGCAATAAAGCCAGTATCTAATATGGTGAGCAACACTATTTTTTAGCTTCCCCCAAAATATAATTTGTGCATTATAAAATTTGTTTACACTATACCATAGTCTACCAAGTATGCAAAGCGTGTAACAGGATGATGTCTTAAAATCCATATACATCTATATTAATTTTAGAAATGCTTTGCTGGGTCACAGGTGTGACTCAGCGTAGAAGACATGGTTCATGTGTGAGGACTCAGCTTCACTCCCTTAATACAAAAAAAACAATGCAACACTAGATCACTTAAGAAACTGCTAACCATCTGATCTAAGGGAAAATGGTGCAAGAGACTTGCACACAGCAGAACTGTGAGGAACCTTCCACTTGTAAAAAGCACAATGTATTCAATGTGCACTCAAGTAAGCTACACCCGCCCACGACTCAAAGCAACAGCATTTCAGCTGCAAAGGCCATTTCATACCTTTAATCCTCGGAGACTTCCTGGGCTTGTTGGAGAGGAACTGGAGGACTTTGTAGATTTGGGAGTAGAAAGTTGGCTGCTGGGAGTTCCATTAACTGACCGTGAGACAATAGAGAAAACAAAGATCATGAAAACCTGGAACAGCCAAACTTTGTAAAAGCACGAAGCACATGCAGGCGGTAGCTCCCATGAAGCGCCAAGTCATTTAGGAGGGCTCAAAGCAGATGGGAAACCAGCAAAAATGCAAAATAATACGTCGGACTGTGTTACAAAGCAGTAGACAAAGGAGGTGTAGAACGAGAATTGTTTTGAATAATAGTTTTCCAACAGTGACATCAACAAATAGAGAAAACATTATGGAATTAGATATGTGAACAAGAACCCGTTCATCTACATGTCCTTCCCGCCAATAAGGACAGAGAAATAAAGGGCTGTGACAGCTGACTCACGTAGATTGCTCCAGAACCTTCCATTCTCTACCATCTCATCATACAGCAACCTGAATAAGATCTTCTTATGACCGTCCCAAATCAGTATTTTCATAACCCCAAATATATCTTATGAGTATAATATAGCACCAGGTGGTGGTGCTCAGGGATTGCCCTTGACAGTGCTCAAGGGACAATGTGGTCCTGAGGGTGGCACCTGAGCCTCCGGCATGCCAAGCAGCATTCCAGACACTGAAGTACCTTCCCGACCTGGCCAAGGAGGTTCTTAATGAAAAGGGGGAAATATCAGCCATTTTCATTAGATTTTTACATATGCGTTTGAAGAGCACACCTTAGTTATTTCTAATGCCCCTATTTTTCCTGTTCTTAGACTACACTTGGTTTGGTGCTCAAGGTCACTTCCAGTAGAACCGTGGGACCCCACGTCCCCGGGGATGGGACACAGGCCTCCTGCAGGCAAAGCCAGTGCTCAGCCCACTGAGTTGTCTCTCCAGCCCCAATTCGCTCCATTTTTGTTGTTGTTGTTGTTGTTCATAGATTAACTTCCCTATAGCGTATCCCGGTGGCTTTTCTACAGCCCTGCAACCTTCATACACTATTTGGGTTGAAGCTTAAGTAGAGTGCATGCTAGGAAAAGTGGGGAACACCACCATTGGCAGGAAAAGTCTCCGAGTTTGCCCAAGAACACGGGGCAAACACTTCAACAGGACTCCAGGCTGCTGGAAACTGCTTCACCGGATACCTGGAAAGAGCTGCCCTAATCGCACAAAACTGGCGGTTACAGGGAACATCCGTGCCATTGCTGGCTCTCTTCTAAGGACTGCTGATATTACCTATTATCATTAATCTTAAGGTTCAAAGTAGGTTAAAAAAACTATCTCCAGGCCCGCTGTGTTTGCTGGGTTTGGTTTTGCAGTGAAAGGGAGTGCAGACAGCTATCCTTTTAGGTGTTTTTAGGTTCCTTTTCTTTCTTTCTCTATGCAGAACCAGGGATAGAATCCAGGTCGCGTGCATGCAAGGCATATGCCTTACTGTGCAGCCAGCCCAGCAGAGAGACTCTTTCAAATTACACAATTTTTAAAAGGCAAATGTGAAAACAAGGTCGTGATTAGTTTATCAGCACCAGCCCTTCCCTGAGGCATGTGCTGGGCTGGCAAGGACCTATGATGAGATGTAAATAAGGACTGGGTTTTAAAAGTTCTGTTTGTTTACTGTACTACTCATTTGAAAAATTCAGTAAGGAAAAATTCCCGATTTTAAAAATAATTATTGAACCTCTAATTTTTATCTAATTCAAAGCCAAGGAGAATTCCCAGCTACCCAGATTTTCTTAGGGCCCAACCAGCAGTACTGGGAGAACCATATGGTTCTGGGGATTAAATCCAGGGTTCCCATATGCGAAAACTGTGTCCCAGCCCTTTCAGTCACCTGTCTTAGGACTTAGGTTTCCTTAACTCATGTCTCTGCTATTCAGAGTGTAGAGTACAACTCTGAGTATGAGTCCAACACAAGTAACTAACTGTACAATGAGTTACACACTTTGAACCCAGGGCCTCCACAGAGCACCCCGCCTGGCCCTAATTTAACTTTTAAGTGTTTTCAACAAGTGTTTTGTTTTATTTTTTGAATTTATCTATCCATTGAGCCCTGGAGGATGGACACCTAAACATACAGCAAGGGGCATGTCCCTCATGGGAGGGTGTGCAGGAGGGGTCCCCAGGGAGACCTGAGGGCCAGAGGTGGTAGAGCCTTGCCAGCAGCTGCCAACAGTGACACAGTTTTCAACAGCCCAAAGTATATTTCTCTATTAAGTTAAAATATCCATTGCTGTTTATTTTTCAAAGTCTTTTTCCCCCCAAGTCTGGGGATATAGTCAATGGAAAAACACAGGACTTGCATGTGTGATGCCTGGAGATCAATTTCAAGACAGCAGTCACAGCAAAAGCCTCCTTTTAAGAAGGGTGACAAGGGGGCCTGATCGATAATACAGAGGGTTGGGCATTCGCCTTGCAAGGGCCAACCCGAGTTCAGACCCTTGCATCCCATTTGGTACCCCAGGCCACCAGGAAGATCCCTGAGCTCAGAGCCAGGAGTAAATTGTGAGCACAGCCAAGTGTGGCCCCAAAACAAACCATAAAATAAAATAAAATAAAATAAAATAACAAGGGTGATAGAACTTCCTGTAAAACAGATGCCATCTGAGCAGTGAGCTGGACACCTACTGTGTGCTGGGGCTCATGGAATCACTTTACCCTTGTCCACCAGTAGCACCAGCTCCCACTCAGCCACTCTCACTCCAGCCACTGATACTCATCACCACTCTGACATCAAAAGCCTTCTTGGAACTGGGATAGAAAAGGGATGAGAGGAAAATCGGTTCCTGCAAGTGACAAATTCCTCTGCAGGAGAGCCATCTTCTTAAAAGACCCCCCCCCTCGCGCCCCCACTGCCCACGCATGGTTTCAAAACTCAGGGCAAGGGACTGCACTGGATTTCACACCCCGAATAACTCTCATCTGAGAGAGGAGCGAGGCACATACAGCAGAAGGGCGTTCTCTCGGGGTCACTCCTCAGCATCCTGCCTGCACATTTCCTCACAGTCTTGGGGTGCACATGAACCACACCCTCCTGTCCCCTGTCCCCACAGAAAACTGCGGCCAAGCTGGGAAGGTGTCCGTGAGGCTCTTTGCCAGGCTGCTCTCCTCTGGAGAGAAAGAAGCTTGGTGTTTTGGTTTGCTCTCGTGTGTGAGTGTGAGTGTATGTGTGTGTCTGTGTGTATCTGTGTGTGTCTGTGTGCTGGGAAAGCTCCCGAGCAGTGCCCAGGGCCCAGGCACCCACAGCACTCCGATGTCAGAGGTTGAGAGCTTGGAGTTGCAGACCTGTGGCACCAGGGCCCGCAAGGCTACACCTGGCTGTGCTGGGAGCTGCGGGCCTACACCAGGGGATGCTTACGAGACCCTGGGGTGTCAGAGACGAAACAAGGTCCTGTGCGCCTGACCTCGGAGCTATCTCCCCAGTTTCTTTATCGGTGGGGGGGGGTAGGCACACCTGGCAGTGCTCAGGGGATCACTCTGAGCTTGATGCTTGTTTCATATGAGGTGCCAGGGACAGAGCCCCAGCCAGTCGTGGCAAGGAGAGCCCCTTCACCACTGTACTACCGCTCCAGCACCTCTAAATCTAAAACATTGTCCCTTTTTTTTTTCTTTTTGGGTCACACCCAGCGATGCACAGGCTCACGCACTCAGGAATTACTCCTGGTTGTACTCAGGGGACCATATGGGATGCTGGGAATCGAACCCAGGCCAGCTGCATGCAAGGCAAACGCCCTACCCACTGTGCTATCACTGCAGTCCCCACGTTGTTCCTTTTCGCCTTGGACGACTATGAGGGATTTAATGTTAGGATCCTGCAGCCAGGACTTTCCTTGTCTTCTGTTGACTTTTTCTTTTTTGCAATATCTGGCAGTAAATTCCCGGGCCACACACATGCCAGGCAAATGCTCTGCTGCTGAGCTATTATCCCCAGCCTCACACAAGAAGCTTGAAGATTAGCATAATTCCATTTACATATGTTGTCCAGATCAGCTTCTGTGCCTACTGCACATTACTAAGCTTCTCTGTTCAGCAGCAGGGAGGGGGACGGGGGAGATGTCCTTGCTCGCAGTAGCTCTTAGAGCCACAGAAGGAGACGGTGCGAGATGATGTCTACACAGTTACTGGCTGGGTCTGAGGTGCCACTAGGAGGCAAGGACTTTGGGGGTGCTCACAGGTACCCCACAGCTGCAGCAGTCTGGCAAGTGTGGGTGACCCAGGCTCCCACCCCCGTTTCTTGCCAGTGAGGCATGAACATAACGTGGATTCAAATAAATAAAGCAAATTCTGTCAGGATCTCAAAGAAATCCCAGCAAATGACAAAAGCCTGAGGTTGTTTTTATTTTAGAGGCCACATCATTTGCTCCAGGCTTACTCCTGATTCTGTGCTCCGGACTTACTTCTGGTTCTGTGCTTAGGGATCAAACCCAGGTCAGCTTCATGCAAGACAAATATCTTAATTCTTGTGCTCTCTCTCCAGTCCTCAAGTTGTAAATCTGCAGGAGGTGCTTAATATACATCTGGGTTCAGTTTGCTCCCTGGGAGGTAATTTTTTTAATTATTGCACAATTTTTACTTATGAGTTTGAGGGCTACTTGATTAACCCAAATCCAAATTCAGACTGTTTCAAAATGGAAGTGCAGAAATTCTGAGATTTTCTTGAACCAGTTTCTAAACATTATGAATTCAAGTTAAAGATGTAACACATATAATAGGCTGTACTAAGGAGTAGTTGGATTGCAAGGTCAGCGAGATTAAGAAACATTTTTTAATTTATATCTTTTAAATTTATTTTTATGATAATTTTATTTATTTCCAACAGGTTTCTTTATTTATTTGCAACAGATTCCATGGAACTGGGGGTGGACACGGGCTGGGGTCCCATGACCCATGCTCATTCAGGCTGCAGAGAAAGTTCCTCTGCTTTGAAAGTTAGGGTCCAAGCACCATTTCTTGCTGCCTGGGCTGCCTAGAGGCTGTTTTCCTTACGTTGTGGCTTTCTCACGATGATGGGTCCCCTCTTGTAGGGGCCACCCAGTGACTGTGGGAGTGGGAGAGAGTGGAGCAGAGTAAAGGGCGGGGGGTTGAGGCCGCTCCCACCAACGGTTGGCCTGGCGGGTTGATACAAATGCTCAGTGTTGCTTCTTGGGATGAGTGGGGAGGATTATGTGGTAGTGGGGAACAAACTCAGGGTCGAGCCTAAACTAGGGATAATCTAGCACCTGACCTAATGCCCCCAGCCCACTGCCACCCGAACCACCCATCCACCATGTTTCCTTTCCTCATGTATATATGTATTTATTTCTTTATTAGGCCACGCCTGGTAATGCTCAGGGGCTATTGCTAACTGAGCTCAGTAGTGACCCCTGTGGTGCTCGGGAGATCAGACATGGTGCCAGGGATCAATCCGCAGATGGCAGCACTTAAGGCGAGTGCCTCAAGCCTTGTCCTATCTCTTCTGTCCGAGACTCACTGCTTTAAAGAGGGCACCTACAGTTGGAATACTGAATGTCTGTCACTAAACTGATAAACTTAGTAAAGTTATAAAATAAAAAAAAAAGATAAACGAGAGCTTACCTACTGAGTTCAGACTCTGTTATTGAAGAGGAAAACCTGGTTTAGTTCTCTACTTATTTTGGTTTTTGGTCTGTTTGTTGTTTTGGGGATATACCTGATGATGCTCAGGGGTAACTCCTGGCTCTGCACTCACGAGTCATTCCTGGTGGTGCTCAGGGGACCCTAGGGGATGCTGGGGAATGAACATGAGTCAGCCATGTGCAAAGCAAGACTATCCTATCCAAACCCTCTGCTCATTTTTATTTTATTGACACGATAAGCATCTGCAGACTGATCATAATGGAAGTTAAGAACCATACATGTGATAATTCTTCAAGTCTACCATGTGGGAAAATACAGTTTGGTATATTGATTGCGAATTTCACACAAAGTGAGCTTTCCCAGCGTGTCGGACACTTGCCAAAGCAGCATGCTCTGATCTGAAGTTAGCTGAACAGCAGAGATGCGCTCTGTTGCAACTCCCCACATTGCCTGAATGCTGAGACGGCGCCAGGCCTATCCCCCGCGTGGGGCAGGAAGTGAGAACGGACGTGCCCACCATTGCTTCTTTGGCAGTTTTCACTTTAACCACCACCTTTGTCCAGAAGAGAACGCTTTTCCAAAATAAAACTTCTGAAATTCACCCGGAGGGGACAGATGTGTCTCCTGGGTCATTGGAGGACCCGTTTTCAATGCCAGCACCCCACGCACCCAGAAGCAGCAACTCACACCGCACAGATGTACACGGGTACGAGTCAGATACGGTTATGGAGATGGAGCTAAAGGAAACAGAAACGTGGCGAGAGACAGAAACGAAAACCCAGCGGGGCGACACAGCCAAAGGGATCAGGGCTCACCTGGGGATCTGGTGGCCGAGTAGATACTGGAGCAGTGGCCGCCCCGCTTTACTGTACCGTTCAGAGCACACGGAGGAGGGAGACAGAGAGAGGGTTATTCAGCAGGTCTACAGGGGACAGCAAAAGGAGGGGGGACGCCACCCCGCAGGGGGAGGCAGGCCAGGTGCCAGGGTTCACAGGGACAGGACAAGGTCCCCCCAACTCCAATCTTTTACAAAAAGTTTCCTATTTCAGAGGGAGAGGACAGACACTGAATGATGTCACTCAGATGTGGGATAGAAAAACACACGGGAAGGGAATAACTAACGCCAAGGCGCAGGAGAACTGGCCCTTACGAGGAAGTTAAGGGCGGGGGACCGTCAGGGGAGCATCATCACGACAATGACAGGGGGAACAGAGCAAGTGGTCACTCTGGACCAGGAGCAGGTGCTAAAGGGAGGGAGAGTGCCAGGCGCGATCCTGTCAGGAATAGTATGGGACACCACAGTCCCTACCTCAGGGAAGGGAGGAAAAAGAAACAGAGAAAAAGTGCCTGTGAGAAAGAGGCAGGGACACTGGTGGAGGGACGAGAACTGAGACATTGGATGCCTGAAACTCAATCGTAAAGAACTCTGTAACTTTGTCATTCACCAAGTGAATTCAGTTAAAATAAACTTTTTTTTAAATTTTTGTTTTTAAAGTTTGACTCTCAGACTATTTTCACCGATACTCCCATCACATGTTCTAGATTTCCCATCAGTGACTTCGTGGCTTTCCATAATTGGGTCCTCAATGGGAAGTCACAGCCACAGGGTATTTGGGCTCACTCCGAGCAAACCTTGTAATCAGCAGTACGTCAAGATAGTTACGACGTGCAGAGTCCTGGCATGATTTCCCCACTCTGCTCCTTCTGATTTGCTGTTTTCTGTCTCATTAGGCCTGATAACCACACCAGGCCTTGGCAAGCTACAAGTACTCAACACATGTTTGTTGAGCTAAAAATCAAATAAAATTCTAAGCATTAAAAATAGATTTTATGGGGCTGGAGCGATAGCACAGCAGGTAGGGCATTTGCCTTGCACATGGCCAACCCAGGTTTGATCTCCAGCATCCCATATGGTCCCCCAGCACCTCCAGGAGTAATTCCTGAGTGAAGAGCCAGGAGTAACCCCTGAGCATCGCTGGGTAGAACCCAAAAAAGCAGAAAAAAAAAAGATTTTATGAGCATTTTAAATTTTTGAATGCCCAAAATGATAAATATTATGAAAAATCTATAGACTTATTAAAATCCCTCCCCTTACCCCCTCCTAAAAAAAACCCTGAACATGAGTAAGGCTGACTCTTAAATTTAAGTACTACTTTCCAACTACTATTAAATTGTTGAATGAAGGAAAAGCTCGATACATTATTAAATGTATCAAATCTACTGCTTTCAGGTGTCTGTGTATGTCATATACACTAAGAAGGAAATGTCCTATAACAGAAATGTCAGATAGCACATAATTCAAACTGTGAAATGAGCCTATATGAACACCAGGAAATAAATCTAGAACAGAAAGACAGCGCTGGAGAAAATGTGTCCAAACAGGACAAAGGTGATTCTTCGGGAGGAGACTCAATGCAACGTTGAGAAACCCGCTTAACATGTTGGCTTCCAAAGTCAGGCCACCCACGTGTCGTTCTGGAATAAGCACGGGAAAGGTTCCTCCATCATCACCTGAGGGAGCCTCAGCTGCTCGGGGACAATTACCTGAAGCAGGTGATTTGCTGCGGCGGGAGGCGCCCGGGCTTTTGGATCCAGAGTACCTCACGGCTGAGGAGCGAGAGTAAGATGACTTCAAGACACGGCACTCTGCAGAGAAAGAAAAGGGCATTAAACAGGGCAGCAGGGTCAACGGTGGAACATCACGCAAAGACACAGCCTTCCACGCTCTCTTCTGCCTCCTGACTCAGGTAAGCTCCATGGTTCAGTCTGCTGCCCGCTGTCACTCCTTACAGAAGCCCTTCCTCATCACCGCACAGGCAAGAGAAATGCTCTTGTTAGGACCCACTTAGCCAGAGAACTGCTATGACAGGTTTTGTAGCCTTCTGAGTGACTTAGTTCTTCCAGGAACAAGAAAAGCAGAAAAAAACAGATGCTTTTGTCATGGATTACATCCCCGGAATGTCTCCGAAATGTAGCTGTTAGGGAGTGGGCTGGATGTCAGGGGCCAAAAAAGAGTATTAGAACTCGCTGAATTTAATGCTCGAGGTCCTTGTTGAAACCCTCTGCATCAGGCTGATACTTGGACCCCAGTGAGCTGAAACAATAAACTTCGCTGTGTGATTTGCATTATCAGCTCTGTTCTCTGTCCTTGACTCCACTGCCAGCCCACCTGACAGCTTGCAGCCCTTTCTCGCCCCAACCCCCACCTCCCTCACACTGGTTTGGCATCAAATGCAGTGCCACGGAACCATTCCTAGTTCTGGGCAATAGGGAGACAGCTAACCTACGAACCCTTCATCTCCCCAAGCTCCAGGGCATCAGACTAGGAATCTAGCCTTAAGCGGAAACTTGAGTCTTTCCAACTATCTCCAAATAAGATAGTGTGGAGGGTACCAGAGCTCATTACTGCTAAAATAATCACTTCTAATTGGAAGAATTAAAAACATGGGTTTGAGAATCAAGCGACTTTCGAATGAATCATGGATGGGACTCTGCCAACGGGGAGCTCCTGCTTAGGTGTTAAGTCTCATCCACTGCCCCCAACGCCCCTTCCATGAAATTGGGTTACGAATAAAATCTGCTTCCGAGGCTTTTTATAAGGATTAAATTGGGCAACATATTGCCTCTCATTTACATTAAAATACTTCAATTTATGCAGAAAGATTAAAACATGGGTAGGTTTTAATCTATACTCCAGGGGCAATAAATTAACATGTGAAGAGCACTAATCAGGGAAATTCGCACCAGGGGGAGTCTGATTTGAAAGCCTCTGATGGAAACCCTGCTCAGAGGGGACACCGGCAGCTTTGGCTTAGCTCATAGTACCACGGGGGTTGGGAAGGATTTGAGATGCTTCTCCCAGCCGCTGCTGCTCTTTCCCAAGCTGGCTGTGTTGACCCAGAGAAGTGGTAACTAGAATTACATGCCTACACCTTGACTTTAAGAATTTGAGCCAGACCTGAGACAGCTTCAAACGGAGGATTTCAGTGGTTGGGGAGGTAGGTTAGCTGAAATGAATGCATCTTTTTTGGTCAAATTTTTAATGTACTTTAGGTAACATGGTTATAATACCTCTAACATTTATGGGTTGGGGAGGGTCACGCCCAGCAGGTGCTCAGGGGACCATATGGGATGCTGAAGATCAAACCGGGGTCAGCCACATGCAAGGCAAGCAGAAACCTACTAAGATAATTCCCTGTGCTAAGGACTTTGACATACAAGGTCACTTCACCACCACCAAAGAGCGCATGGTCTTTGTCTGTGGATTCTAGACTGCCTCTTCCTGAACCGATAGTGCAGGATACTGTCAGACGCCAGAAGAAAACAGACCTGAGGCTTCACCCAGATATCAATACTGAGTAAATGACTTTTTAGAAATTCATCACTTTTGAGGCCATAAAGATAATTAAGGAGGCAGAGCACTTGCCTGGCATGCAGCCGACCGGGTTTGATCCTGGGTACCCACCCAGAGGAGGACCTCTAAGAGCAAGCACAGAGCCAGGAGTAAGCCCTGAGCACTGCTGAGTGTGGTCCAAAAACCGAAAGAAAAACAAAACAAAAATTTTGCCTTCTAATAGGACACCAAGACAATATTTCATGTTCTCTGATTAGCATTATCATGGTCAAAATGCATCAAACAGATTCAGTTTCAGTTCAACCCTATCAAAATGCTGATGAACATTCTTCAAGTACTTTAGAACATACGCTATTAAAAGTGTATAAACTCCTCAAAGAGTCAAAGCTATATTGAGAATAAAAGTGGGATGTATTGCATTTCCTGACTTTCAATTAAACTACAAAGCTATTATGCAGTATGATGATGTATTGAAGGCAGACTCATAGGTCAATGGAAAAGAATCGAGAACCCAGAGATATACATTCAGATCATCGACTGTTTATCCATAACAAGGGAGTGGGGCAAATGAAGTGGAGCAAGGAAGGCCTCTTCAGCAAATGGTACTGGGAAAACTGGACAGCCATCTGCCAAAACAGAAACAAAAATAGAAAAAAAAATAAAGAAGAAATGGGACACAGATCTCACAATTAGACCAGATCCCTTAAAGTACACTGAGGAAAAAACAGACTGAATTCTCCAAGATGTGACCTTAGAGGTGTCTTCAGTGATGTAACAACACTGACAAAGAAAAGAAATGAAAACAAATGGAACTACACCTACACCAAACTTAAAAGGTTTTCCATAATGTGGGATGTCGAGACAGCATTCATTCAGGGGAATGAGTGGCCAATCCCGGTTCTATTCCCAGCACCATATGGTCCTGTGAGCACCACCCGGAAAGACTCCCAAGTACAGAACCAGGAACAGTCCCTGAGCACCACCAGGCATGGCCTGGGTTGGGGAGGGGAGAGGAAGATAGTAGAGAGTGAGGTCAGGGTGAGGTAGAAGAAAGGCAGTGGTGGAAGGTTCTGGACAAGTGGTGGTTACGTTGAGTAACTTTGTAAAAGTTATACTATTTAAAGCTGTGAAGTATATATAAAGCCATGGAAGTTACACTATTGTAACCATGCTACCTAGAAAATATTAAAAACTAAATAAGAAAGTTAAATAAGACACTAAATGGGAGAAAATATTTGCACTCCACACATCAGATAAAGGGCTAATATCTAAAGAACTCAAAGCTCAATAACGAAAACACCAAAAAACCCATCATAACTATGGAGAAGAGATGAACAGACACCTCCCCAAAGAGGACAGACAGAAACGCCAACAGGCATATATATGTTAGTGTGTTCATAGTCACTTTGCAGAGAAATGCAAACCAAAATGAGAGCAAGGTATCACCTCACACCAGTAAGAATGGTCTCTACATCAAAAAGAGGAAACAACCAGTGTTGGAGGGTGAAAAGGGAACCCTCACTCATAGTTGTCTGGGTCAACCCTGATGGAAAACAGGACAGAGATTTCTCAAAAAAGAACAGAACTCCCAGACGACTCGATTCTACTTCTTGGCATCTACTCCCAAAACACACAAAAAGCATTAACTCTAAAAGGCTATTATAGTGCTAAACACAGTACCTAGGATAAGAAATAATCCAAAGGCCCAACAGCAGATGAATGGATGAAGAAGTTGAGGTATAAACACATAACGGAATATTATACTGCTGGAAGAAAAGAAAAAAAATCTTACAGTTCACTGCAATCAGGATGAAACTAGAGGGTTAACATGTTGAGCTAACGTTAGAAAAGACGAAGTCACGAAATTTACATACAAGCGGTACTACATGGAAAGTATCATGTTAAGCGAAATGACTCAGAAAGAAAGGGATAGACATAGAAAGACTGCATTCATCTGGGGAACATAAAGTAACAAAATAGGAGACTAACACCAAGAATGGCCGAGTTTAGTACCAGGAATTTTACTCCATGGCTTGGAGGCCAACCACACATGCTAGGGGAAAAGGGAGCTCAGATAGAGAAGGGAACACCAAATAAAGGTCTTGGGAGGATCCTCCCAGGATGGGAGAAGCATGCTGAAAGTAGACTATAGACTAAACATGATTGTCACCCATCGCCTCTTCTGCAAACCACAACACCCAAAAGGAGAGAGAGAACAAAAGGGAATGCCCTGCCACAGAGGCAGGGTGGGATGAGGGGGGGATGGGGGGTGGGAGGGATACTGGGATCCGTGGTGGTGGGAAATGGGTACTGGTGAAGGGATGGGTATTTGATCATGGTACAATTGAAACCCAAGCAGAAAAATGTGTAAGTCTGCAACTGTACCTCATGATGTCTCACTATTAAAAATTTAAAAAAATAAATAAAGAGCCCAGCAAGCTACCGAGAGTATCTGATATGCCAGACACAGTAAAGCACTTACAAATTAAAAAAAAACATGTTGAGCTAAGTCAATAGAAGGAGAAGAACATACTGAGTGATCTCACTCATCTGTAAACTATAGAAAAACAAAAAAAGGGAAATAGAAAACATCCAACTAAGACAAAGCTTTGGACTTGGATTACAAAACTGAGATTTCCAAGCAGTGGTGAGGAAATGGCAAGAAAGGAAGAGGTGAATGAGACACAATCTAAGGACAGTGATGATGAAGAGTCTTGAGAACTTTAGGAGGGGGACGCAGTAACTGTAAATCATAACCATAAACATCAACACCATTATAACCATGTTACGTTATATACAAGTATTTACTGTGTTATCTGTATGTAATATGTATGTAGCTACCAAATGTAATGACCATATTATATTTATATACAGTTTGCCTTCTAGCAGAGACACCTTTGACAAAAAGGTAAGTCTGAGATTTGCTCTCACTGTGGAATTTTAGGACTGATGGTAGCAGTAAAAATGATGCTGACAACAAAGCAATCACACGTTCTATATGATGGGCACCTTCCAATAGAGTTTGCATTTATCACCTCCCTTAATCCCCACGAAAGCTTATGGGAAAACCACTACCAATCTCATTCTGCAGGACATCAAGAAATTAGTGATTGAGAATGAAGGAATCTGTAGCTTCTACCTACTTCTGATGAATGGAATCCATCCTGTTTTCAAAATGAAAGAAGACCTAAAAGGGAGCAAATCGATGAACAACGGGAGGACAGTGACAGTGACAGTGACAGTGACAGTGACCAAATAGATGTGTGGAGACAACCTCTCCCGATGTATCTGGAGTTTCCAAGCTAACACTAGGAAAATAATTTGCATAACACCCCTGCCTTCCCCTGAGTGAAGGAGGATTTGCCTAAAATAATCTTTCTTTTGCTAATATCTTTATCTCATCCTTTCTTTCTCCACTCTTACATCTCTCCTCAATGAAATGAAACGCTCTATCTGTATGATTTTTGCTTCATTGGAAGATAAACCTGAGGGGCCAGAGCAATAGTTCAGTGTGTAGGGTATTTGCCTGCCACATGGCTGACCTGGGTTCGATCCCTGGCATCCCACATGTTCCTCCAAGCACTACTAGGAGTAATTCCTGAGCACAGAGCCAGGAGTAACCCCTGAGCATTATCGGGTGTGGCTCCCAAAAACATAAACAAAAAAAACAAAACAAAGATGAATTTGACTTTACTGTCAGCTAGAATCATCACTATTAATGTGATAGGTTTAAAATAATTCAATAACAGAAAATTGTGAATAACAGAAAAATGTTATTCACAGGAGGAAAAAGACCTGAAATCAAGATTATTGTTAATTATTTAAAAACTGTATATTGACCAATTCCAAGAGAAATAAATTTATTTCCTGACCATTAAGAAGAGCTTTATTTTTCCTGAATATATAAACAATACATAATATTGTGTGTGTGTCTTTAACATACAAAGAAAATAGCATGGTAAAAAGAAATCTAAGTAAATCATTGTCAACCATTTAGTTATTATCTTTTTACTTATATCTTTATGCACACGGCATATATGTTAACTTATATCTTTATGCACACCCATGTATTTAAGCCAGCCACCATTCTGGAAGAGGTCAGGACATCCATTTCAAAAGCAAAACACTGTATTAAAATGGGAGGAAACCAAATTGCAGAGAGAGAAAGGAACAGAGAGAGAGAGAGAGAGACAGACAGACAGACAGACAGACAGACAGACAGAGAGAGGGACAGAGACAGAGAGACAGAGACAGAGAGGGAGAAGAAAAAAGACAAAGAATTTGAAGTTCTGCAAATGCTCTCATGTTACTCCCTATTTTCGTGTGAAAGTTCAGTGAATACACGGCCAACGCCATCTCTCTTCACCACGCCAAACTAGCTGCCACGCACCCTCAGTTAATCCCCCCTTCCCCCCAGGTCAGGCTCCACAGATGGCCCAGGAACTGCCTTACCACTGTGATCCAGAACAAAGTCATCCTGGGCATAACGGAACTTTTCTGGTCCACACGCAATAAAAACATCATCATCACCAAAAAAGTCTTGAAGACAAGTCACCTAGAAACAGAAGATCATATTCATGGCATTAGAAACACAAGAAGTACAGATCTGGCAAAACCAAACACAGTTTCGAGTCACACCGCCTGGACTGAGTTGGGATGAGAGGCCGCTTATGACACTGGGCATTTCCTCCTAGGTCCTTCATCCTCCCTGAGGCTCCCCGCTGCCATCTCCCCCGCTCACCACACCTGAAGGAGTGGCCCAGAGACTTGGGGTTCCAGGTGAGGTGAAGGACACACACACACAGGTTTGAGTGACACCTGCTAGGCTCCCATACCTGTGGGAGGCAGGGCTGCAGTGCAGGATCACATGACAGGATCTGGAGGTGGGGAGGACTGGGGGGGCGGGGGACCACAGGAGAACATTTCCGCTTCCTACTCCACTGTGGACCCTGCAGACAAGTCAGGGCCAAGGAGGTTGGGGTGGGGGGGTGGCAGCAGTGAGGGGTGAGAAGGGGTAGGGCGGTTAGACTACAGTTGCTGTCTGAATTGTGGGAATAGGGACCTGCTGGCAGCCTCAGAACCCCCAGGAACTTAACAGTGAGGGAGGCAAGTCACTCAATCCCATTCAGGGCAAAACAAAACACAAGGACCTCAAAATCACCTGAACTAAAGGTGAGGAAAAGCGTGCCCATGGAGAAGACCTCTTCTGTTTGCTCCTTTAATTCTTGGTTCCATGCAAAAGAGGCTCTTGGGTTGTTTTTTGTGGCTTATAAAAGCTACACAAAGGAGAGGAAAGGACTATTTCTGCTTCGGTGCAAAATTCAAGCCATTAGCAGGATCTAGTAGGGAAACATCCAACTGAGAAAGAAAGTGTCAGTGGGAGCATATCTGAGCTTCCTGCTAATGTGGGCACTTACAGGCAGATTCATTAGGTGGGGGTGAACATGTGGCAACCAGAATTTCAGGGCGAGTTCTGAGCAACTTGCCACAACCATTTGTCTCTCTTGTTCTGGGTCTCTGTTGAATGATGCAGAGCTACCATGGCTTGGGGGTTGATACGGTACTGAACAAGTATTAGGAACAGGGGCCAGTGAGATAGGATGGCAGGCAAGGCACTTGCCTGGCATACAGCATAAGCTGACCTGGACTCTGTCCCTGGCACTCAAAGAGGAAGCCTCATTTTATCCTTGCCAGGGAGTTGACAACTGTCCATTATAAAATTCTGCCCCAGACCGAGGCTCACTGGGAGGTGAAAATAACACAAAATCTCTAAGGCAAAGGACCGGACCAGGGCCTGTCAGATCCAGGCATCCTCTGCAACACTTGCCAAGAGCCAACTTTCCTTTAAAAGGGCCTACAGGAAAACCCTGACCTTTAATTCCCCCGTATTCCCTGTAACACAGACGCAGTTTTCCTATAAAACTTATAGTTTTCCTATAACTAAGTTAACTCTATTTAACTTAGTTCTATACTAAGTTTCTCCCTGCTTGGGGAGGTTCTTTTTCTTCTACTTTCCAATAAACTTTTCTACTTTTTATTACTCAATATTTTCATTCTTGAAAATCTCGAAGAACCTGGGAATCGTGAACAGACACACACCCAGTGTCACTGCTTCTGCAACATCTGCACCATACTGTACCATATGGTTTCCTGAACCCTGCCAGGAGTTCTCCCTGAGCACTGTAGTGTGTAGCCCCAACAAAAAGTATTAGGAACATATTAACCCTTTGCTCTAAAGAAAACAGGAGATGCAGAGGTGCCACTTGGCTGAACAGCCACCCCTCCCCTATGGAAAAGAGGTCACTAGAGGTCAGTCCTCTTCCCTGGCCACCAACGGTCTGGACATCATTTCTTCCTGACCCTCCAGGGTACAGCAGATTGGTTTTCATGGAGATCTTTTCTGACGATGACATTCTAAAACCCAAATATTTTTCACTTCTGAGAAAATTTTGTGTATATTTTAGGAGACGGCTTTCAGAAGAGTTGAGAACATTTTCTTTTCTGAAAAAGGGGAACGCTATTTTAAGGGAGTCAACAAACAGCAATGTTTGCCCGGTATTTTGTTTTTCCTGCTCAAGTTTCTGCTTTCTATGTCCTCAGAGATATCTTTGGCAAAGAGGGACCTGAGAGAGGGTAAAGGGATTAAGGCACTTGCCTTGCTTGCAGCCGACCCCAGAGCAATCCTGCTAGGACCTATGGAGTGATCCCTGAATGCAGAGCCAGGAGCAATAAGCCCCGAGCACTGCTGGCTGTAGCCCACTCCCCACTCCACTCCCTACCCCAGTGGAAAGAAAGATTCAACAAAATCTCCCTTGCCCTCTACCCCCAATTTGGCTGTGCCCACAATATTTCATGATTCACCCAATTTAGACGCTATCATTGAGGTGACAGCCTGTTTCATGTCTTACCTCACAGGAACCCCACAGTCTTATCAATTCCGGCACCAAACCTAACGGTCTGTTCAATAAACTTCTCTTGAGTTAAACAAGTGCTCTGAGTTGCACACTCTCCTCTCTAGAGGCTCCATCTCATGTTCCTGCAACTCACTGCCTGGCGTCCCATATGGTTTCCTGAGTTGATTCCTATCAACTCATCAGCACTATGCACTGCAGTCCTGCACTTGGATGGTTCTGGGTTTCTGTGAAAGACAACCTTGAACATACCACCCAATCCTGTAGTTCACCAGAGAGGTTGGTCAGCAAATACTTGATCAAATCTGGGGTCTAGAACTTTCTAAAACTTCATCTTAGATTGTGTAAGTTGGCGTAGACTTAAAATCTTTTCAACACTTCAGAGTGATCTGAGAACTTGTGGATTCCACAACTGCAGCCATTTGGTGGAAGAGTTTCAAGAGAAAGCGATTTACAATCAAGTCTGCCACTGGTGTTCTTCAGAGAGCTAAGACTATTGGCAAATAAAGGTCTCTTGAGATACTTTCCAAGGTAACTTTTTGAAAATTACCACAGGATTCAGAGAGTACAGTGGGTAAGACGCTGGGCCTTGCGTGCAACTGATCTGGGTGTGATCATTAGCACCACACATGGTTGGTCCGCAGCACAGAGAATCCCTGAGCACTGAACCAGGAGGAAGCTCCGGATACCACAAGATACGACCAAAACATTAAAACAAAAACAAAGTCCCCACTGAGTTTCTCAGTGATACCAGAAACTTGTTTTAAGATCTTAGCACTCTTGAAAAGTATCTTTGAGAGCAATGATCACTTAAAATAAAAAATAGGATAATGAATAATATGAGCATAAAACTGGAATTTTTAATGAATTTTCTTTCATTTTAACTGTACATCGGTGTGTATAGGAAACAGAAGAGAATAATGGGAGTATATGCCTTCTATTGAAATTAAATGCTTCTATTTTCTTTTTCTCTTTTTCTGGGGGTTGGGGGAGCATTTCAGGGACACCTAGAGTTCTCAGGGCTTACATCTCGATCTGTACACCTGGTGATGACCATATGTGATGCTGGAAACCAAACCTGGGGACAGCCAGGTGTAGCTAACAGCTTACCTTCTATACCCTAAATGCTTTCATTTTCTGAGTTCAGTTTTTTAAAAAAACCCATCAGCTGCTGCCAGCACCAGGTTGGTCCCATCAACAGCCAAGACGCAGAGACTATAAAACCCAGCTCCCAGAGGAGAACAGAGCAGAGTCTCCTGCCCCCGCGCCTGGCTGTCCTTACCGGGGCCCCTTGGAGGGGGGAGGGTTGAGTTTATCTCCCCCACCCCCGCCCCGAGCAGAGTCCCAGCAGCTGAGGACCTTCGGAGCCAGCCATGGCCATGCTGGAACCACTCTCCACACGTCCGGACGGGCCCTATGCATGAAAGAACTGGCAGAGGAACCCAGGCATGTGGTCCCGGGGCTGAGGTCTCCAAGCCTACTTGGATTGGGACTGGGCCTTCTCTAACCAGACCCCCCATCTTCCAGTAGGTAGGCGTCATACCCATCAGCTGCTGCCAGCACCAGGTTGGTCCCATCAACGGCCAAGATGCAGAGACTATACAACCCAGCTCCCGGAAGCGCGCAGCTGCATTTGCGGCCGCACGACATCTTATTATCTTATTTTTTCCTTTGGAGAACCTGACAGGCTACCAAAAGTATCCTGCCCGCACAGCAGAGCCTGGCAAACTTTCCATGTCGTACTCAATATGCCAAATACCAGTAACAATGATGGATCTCATTCTCCTAATCCTGAAAGAGCATTGAAATGGCTCTTTTAAAATCTCAGGGCTAGGACGAAGGAGACGTTACTGGTGCCCGCTCGAGGAAATCAATGAACAACAGGATGCTTGTGATCTTGTGAGTTTTTAAAAGGTATTGTATACTAAAGGGCTGCAGGATAGTACAGCAGGTAAGGCGGTTGTCTTGCATACGTTTGATCTGGGTTCAATTCTTCTGCCTCTCGGAGAGCCTGGGAAGCTACCGAGAGTATCTCACCCACACAGCAAAGCCTGGCAAGCTACCCATGATGTATTCTATATGCCAAAAACAGTAATAACAAGTCTCACAATTTGTTGTGAGACATTACTGGTGCCTGCTTGAGCAAATCGTTGAACAATGGGAGGACAGTGCAGTGCAGTGTCTACCAAAAGATACTTAAAATTTTTTTTAATGTTACTTCTAAGGAACCTGAGCTCAGAAAGGAGTCCATTAAGTGGCTTCTCTTTGAAGTCAAATTATTGTACAAGTTTTTATGGAACTATACTGATAGCCCTACTTTCTTTCCCTAAGAAAATGTCACAGTCATAAGTTATAAAAAAGAACAGTATTTTTCTCTCCAGACTATTCTACCACAGCAAGTTTCTATCCTGTAAACAAATAGAAATATATGTATCTTGAGATGTAAAAAAAAATCAAATGTCAAATTTAACATACGGAAAATTATCAACTTAAAACCTCCCTAAGCTGTGATCTTTCCATTTCTATTTTCCACTGATACACTTAAAAAAAAAAAAAAGCAGCAGGGGCCTTGTTGACATTTAAAAGCTATCAATTCAAGAGCTGTTTTTTTTTTAACCAAAACTAGTATTATCCTGGTCACAGT